CTAGGTTTTTCCACAGCTCTGTAATGAGTACATATGGATGTATTAAACATTAACATTTTTGTATATTAGCATAAAATTTATTTTTCTATTTTACATGTTTTAAAATCTCACATAATATAGAAAATATAAGGAGTTTAATGAGCACACAGATTTAACGTTTTTCAACATTTTGCCATATTTGCTATAAATTACGTACCCATTTGTACTAGTTTTTTAAAGCAAGGTAGAATGATTTAAAATCACCTAAAGTGAGATGGTCAAGCAAAAAATGGAGGGTGTAATTTAGTGAAGAAAACATTTGTAAATATAATTCATATATGTAACATCTATACTTTTAAAAAGTTAATTTGTGTGTCTTCTGATACAGTTCCATAGGCTCTGGGATTTCCCCTCCTCTGCTCTCAAGTCTGTTCCCCTCACTGAATTCCCCATAATATGATAATAGTATAGTCCTTCACAATCAGTCATAAGTCCATCATGCTGCTATTTAAGTGTGTCATGATGTAGTGGGTATGGAGAATGGCAGAGTCAAACATCCTGTTGTCAAAATACATTTTGCAATTTCACTGGGAGTCCATCTTTGATTTGGAAGTGGAGATGCATGCTGCTTTGTATCTTCATGTCTTGATGTGGTAGTCTCTGCTATACAGTCCCTCTAGATGACTGTATGTACATGCATATTTACCTCTATATCTGGATGACCATATGTACTTGCCCATTTACCTCTGTATCTATTGACCTTGTATTTTACATGAAGGTTGCCTTACATCAGAGAGAACATGTGATATTTGTTCTTTTGGGATTGGCTTATTTCGCTGAGTACAATTGTCTCTAGTTGGAACCATTTTGTTGAAAATGGTAGAATTTCATTCTTTTTAATGGCTGAGTAGTATTCTATGGAATAGATGTACCACAGTTTTTTTAATCCATTCCTCTTAATGGGCATCTGGGTTGTTTCCCTGTCTTTGCTCTTGTAGATTGTACTGCTGTAAATATAGGATTACAGATCCCTTTCTCATATATAGATTTTATTTCCTTTGCAAATATTTTAGTACTTGGATGGCTGGGTCATACGGCAGATCAATTTTCAGTTCACTTTGCACTTTCCATGCTGACTTGCGTAGTGGTTGTGTTAGCCTACACTCTCATCAACAGTGAAGGAAGGCACCTTTCTCCTCACATCTGTGCCAGCAGGTGTTGTTAGCAGAGTTCCACTCTTATTTGAAATAATTTTGACTTTTTAACTTTTGTTGCCTTGGTTAGGACTCCAAAAGCTCTCATGTACAAAATGAGGTATTATTTACTGGAAGGCTAAGTCAGTCTAATTAACATGTGCTTGTTAAGCTTAATTCTCTAATTGTAAGGATGGCTTTATTTTACTGCTTCTCTAAGATCTCAGAATTAAGCTGAGTTGCAAAACATTGTACATAAGCGAGTATGTTAGAAGATGATATTTAGTCCCGATTGTTTTTGTGTTTTCTGATATAAGGTAAGGAAGTAAGTCTTTCGCTAAATGTTAGTGAGATTCACCTGTTAATGAGCCTGGCTGCTTCTCCCCTTTTAGAAGCAGTAAACATTTTTCTTATGTTCAAATTTGTTTGTATATTTAATGAAAAATTAGGCTTCTGTTTTATTTGTTGTAGCTTTTTTGAATTTGGATTTTTAAAAATCATTGCAGGGTTGGTTTTCACTGTTGTAGTAACAGGATGTGGTTGCGCTGCTTCTAGTAAATATTAGTTCTAGTAAGTATTAGTGAAAGCCAGAGCAAACAAACTTTCCTCTTCACTGAAATAAGAGATCTTGAAAGTTTTTTTTTAAAAGAACTTTAATTTGTCAATAAAATGTACAGGAAGTGTAAGATTACATTTCTTATATTAAAGCATGTAATATATGTAAGTGAATTTCTAATACCCTTGTAAGAAAATGTAGTAATTAAAGCAAGTTTCATTGGACTAGAGATGTTTATCTTAGCTTGGTGTGTTTTACAGTTACCTTCATAACATGCCAGCAACAAAACTGGAATCTTCCTTTATTGTTTGACACTCTTATAGACTTGGATATGATATATTCAATGTGATTAAATGATAGTTAAAGTAGAATTTTAGGACCATTTGATGTTGGTTTAACTGAAGTTGAATTTGACATTCTGCAGTAGATATGGAACCTCATCTCTTGTCATAAGATTTCCCATTTTTCTTATGATGATTCATTTTAAGTGTCAAAATTCATATAGTCTTCTTATATCCTAGTGCTCATAGAAACTAAAGGTCAGAAATATAAAGTAGTTCATTCCGGTTATTATCCTATAACTCATAGGTGGAGTCTGGTCTTTGGACTCAGTGCTTGCTTTGTCAACAGATTAATCCCGAGACTGCCCTGTTCCCTGTCTGGTCCACAGTCTTTATTATGCATGAGCAATAAGAACGTTGGCCATTACTTAGCAAAGGCCTGACAATAGGCTTGTGATTGCATTTGCAGTGACTGTCTTTACAAATGAGTTAAAGAGACAGAACAGAGGAGTAAAAACATCACTGGAACCTGATGTAGAAGACAATTGAAAGCTTGGTTCTTCCTATATTTCTTGTTATTTACCATTCAAAGGAACCTAAGGTGCAAAATAGCCTTCTGTCAAGAGCCACTAACTGTGAATGGTATTTTGGTGAACCCAGTTAGAAAGGGCTCTGAAAATGTTTTAAAAAGTAGCATGTGTGGTTTATTAATATTAAACTTCTCTTACTTGCAAAATAGAATAAAATTTGAATGATATACCTATGTGTTTTTTTACCCATGTTATTTTTTCCAGTGTATTTAATCATTTCCTGTTTCATTTTATTGTTTACTTAATATTGCTAATCTAATGGTAACTACATCTTAAAAAGAACAGACAAAAATTACATTTACCTTTAGAATCTTTGTTTTTTGATGAGAATTTCATAGTTGGTACAAATAATGTGTCTAGTTGTATATGTGCACTTTTTTACTGGTTTTTTAAAAATTTTTATTTTAGCTACTAGTTTCATTCATTTTTCTAAGTATAGTCACATTTTTAACTGATAAAGTGTTCTGTGTTAGCTATATAAAATACTAATGTATAACTAAATAATTATTGTCCCATGATTACGTAGTTACTGTATAAAGGTTTTATGATCTTATAACATGGCAGTTTATCTTTTCTGTTAAACTTCCTTCCAAGGGGAATGTCTGTTTTAGAAATTCAGGTTTATTTCTGTTTTGCTTGTTTATTCTTCAAAGTGCACACTGGTAATATTACATATTTTCAATCCTTCAAAGAGGATTAATTTAGAGAAATCTTTTGTAAGATATTTTAATTTGTCCCCATTACTTTTTAAAAAAGAATTTATTGGAAAGGCAGATTTACACAGAGAAGGAGAGAAAGAGAAAGATCTTCCATCCACTGGTTCACTCCCCATGTAGCCACAATGGCCAGAGCTGAGCTGATTTGAAGCCAAGAGCCAGGAGCTTCTTCTGGGTCTCCCATGTTAGTGCAGGATCCCAAGGCTTTGGGCCGTCCTCCACTACTTTTCCAGACCACAAGCAGGGAGCTGAAAGGAAAGTGGAGCAGCTGGGACATGAACCAGTACCCATTAGGGATCCTGGTTCATGCAAGGCGAGGATTTAGACACTAGGCTATTTCACCAGGCCCCCCCATATTCTTTTTTTTTTTTTCAAGATTTATTTAATTTTTTTTATCAGACAGGTATATTTGCAGACAGTAGGAGACAGAAATGGAAACAAAGATCTCAGATATGCTGGTTTACTCCCCCAATGGCCAGAACTGAGCCAGTCTGAAGTCAGCAGCCAGGAGTTTCTTCTGGGTGTCTCACATCTGTTCAGGGACCCAAAACTTTGGGGCCTCCCTTATTGCCTTCTAAAGGCACAAGTAAGGAGCTGGATCAGAAGTGGAGCAGCTGGGACATGAACCAGCAACCATATGGGATCCAGGAGCTTGCAAGAGGGAAGATTAGCCAATTGAGCTGTTGTACCCAGCCCGGGAGTCCATACTGTTGACCATTTTGTACTGTGACTAAATGGAAAGCAACCAGGGAAGGCTGTGATATTATCAAGGCTGTTAACAATGAAATACGTATTATAATAAAAGTACAATATTCCTTTTGCAAAGTTTGCATTTTTCTCTTGGTTTAATTGGCAAATAATTTATAACTTCTCTAAGATATGACCAGTTTCAGTATTTAGTCTATGTGTTTATTGGCCTTCTCTTGCGTATTAGACACTTTGCTAAATACAATGTCTAGTCTCCTTTAGTTTGTGGTAATTCAGAGGAAAGTAGGTAGAATCACTGAAATCTGTTCTTTTATGGCCAAGATCTTGTCTGTATTGCTAAATCTCCAGTGCCTAGAATTGTGCACAAGATATTGAAAGTGCTCAGTAATTTCTGAATAAATGAGTTGTATTGTTCTCCTTAAAAGAGGAGACAGGTGGCTCTGAGAGTGTCATGATGACAAGCAGAAGGTGACATAGACAAGGCTGGATATCTATTGTCAAAGTCCATGTTGGTATGGCTTTGCCTCATTTTGTCTTAGTGTGTTTTTTTTTTTTTTTAAGATTTGTTTATTTTTATCACAAAGCCAGATATACAGAGAGGAGGAGAGACAGAGAGCAGAGAGGAAGATCTTCCATCCGATTATTCACTCCCCAAGTGACCACAACGGCCAGTGCTGTGCTGATCCGAAGCCGGGAACCAGGAACCTGTTCGGGGTCGCGCATGTGGGTGCAGGGTCCCAAAGCTTTGGGCCATCCTCGACTGCCTTCCCAGACCACAAGCAGGGAGCTGGATGGGAAGTGGAGCTGCCTGGATTAGAACCTGCACCCATTTTGGATTCTGGTGTGTTCAAGGACTTTAGCTGCTAGGCCACGCCGCCGGGCCCTGTCTTAGTGTTATAAAAATCATTATTTAATAAGTTTTAAAGTGTTTGTTCAGCACAATAATTTAGTAGTTCTGCTTTCTCCCCATAAAATAGCCAAACCATGGAGCACATTGTGAAATTGGTGGAGCAACACGGCAGTGACATCTGGTGGACTCTTCCCCCTGAGCAGCTTCTTCCGAAAGAGGTTTTATCTCAGGTGAATTCCACTTGTGTTCAACAGCCTTTCTGTGTTTCACGACTGACTGACAATGTGAGGGATTCTTGGGAGCTAAAATTGATTATATTATTGTGGATGTCAATTTAGAAGCTTATGTAGTGTGAGTGTGACCCTTTGGTTTAGTGATTGAAGTGTCATATGAGGGTACTTGAAAAAGTTTATGAAAGACAAAGAAAAATTGAAATTCATGTAGTCTTGTCAAGTATATTTTCCATGATCTTTGAATGTCCCTTGTATGCATTTAGCAGTGGAGTGTTGGCCATTTGTTGTCTCCTTGAGGGCCAGTGTTGATTCTGACTGCTTTAGTTGACTAAAGAATGTATATGTGATTGAGAAAACTGCTCATCATTCATAACTCAGAACTGATTGTGACATACATTTAAAAATACCCTGTTTTGGGCCCGGCGCGGTGGCGCAAGTGGTTAAAGGTCCTCGCCTTGCACGCCCGGGATCCCATATGGGCGCCGGTTCTAATCCCGGCAGCCCCGCTTCCCTTCCAGCTCCCTGCTTGTGGCCTGGGAAAGCAGTCGAGGACAGCCCAAAGCTTTGGGAACCTGCACCCGCGTGGGAGACCTGGAAGAGGCTCCTGGCTTCGGATCGGCATAGCATCGGCCCGTTGCGCTCACTTGGGGAGTGAATCACCGGACGGAAGATCTTCCTCTCTGTCTCTCCTCTCTGTATATCCGCCTTTCCAATGAAAAAATAATAAAAATAAATCTTTTAAAAAAAAAATACCCTGTTTTTAAGATAATTCCAATAAACCATTAAAAGATTTCATGTAGATAGATATATAATTAAGGGGTCATAGTCACCTTTATTTTATCTTTTTAAAGGTTTATTTATTGCACTTCAGAGAGCTATGGAGGGAGAGGGAGCAAAACAGGGAGAAATTCCATCCACTGGTTCACTACCTAAATGGTTACAACTGTCACAGCTGTCCTGAGCCGAAGCTGGGATGCTGGAGTTTGTTCCAGGTCTCTCACTTGGGTGCAGGGACCCAAGCACTTGGGCCATTCTCTGCTGCTTTCCCAGGCCATCAGCTGGGAGTTGGATCAGAAGTGTGGTAGTCGGGTCTCAAACCGGAGCCCAATACCAGGACCACTGGCATGTCGCATCACCATGCAGCCCTGTTATAGTCACTTTCACATGCAAATATAGTTGCAATAAATTGAATGCTCAAAATGTTTTAATCTAATGTGAATTTACTGGTTATTTTAACTTTTTGGATGGTTTTATATATTGTGATCCTTATGTAATTAAAATATTTTCGTATTATCTAATTAGGTTGGTGGTCCTGATGGTTTGGAGTATGTGCCAGGTCAGGACATTTTGGATATCTGGTTTGATAGTGGAACCTCGTGGTCTTATATTCTGCCAGGTAATTTCTTCAGTTTTAACTTAGTCATTTTATTTGTAAGGTGGGTGGGGGAGGAGAGGCGGGGAGACAGATTTTTCCCTGTGTCAGTTTACTCCCCAAATGCTCACAAGAGCTGGGGCTGGGCCGTGCTGAAACCAGGATCCAGGAACTCTAAATTACATTTAACGTGTAGGCAGATAATATTACTAAAGCTCAGTTTAGCAGGAAGAAGAGATTCCTGCCTGTACATTGAGGTGACCTTCTGAATTCCAGACCAGAATGTGCCAAATGTGGTAATGTCCCCAATAGCATATTTCAGAATGGATTCACTGCTTTGACCTTGGGGAGAGTTAATGCTACTTGCTTTGCTGCTTTTCTATTTTTCAAAGTGGTTTTACGTTACGTGCCACAGGTGGAGGTTACACTTGGAGTTAGTGACTGGTTAAATTAAATAAAAGCTGCCTTTAGCCCCTGTCTGTGCTGCTGCTGTTGGTGGTAGTAGAATTTAGTCATATTGTTTCCAGTGTGTGACTCTTAAGCAGAAATTTTGACTGTGACTGTAATTGACAATAAGATCATACCTTCTTAGTAAATAATTTCTTTCATTTCCTGTTATATTAGGTAACTAATTTCATGAAATTTAATTTTTTTTTAAAAAGACTTACTGATTTGCAAAGCAGAGTCAAATGAGAGAATGCAGAGGCTTAGACTCACGTGAGTGCTTCTATCTGCTGACTCACTCCCCGAATGGCTGAATGACCAGGGTGAGGCCAGGCTGAAACCAGCAGCCAGTAACTGTGTTTGGGTTTCCCACAAGCATGAGATCTGCCCATCTTCTGTTTTCCTAGGGACATGTGCACGGTACTGGATAGGAAGTTTAGTAGCAGGAACTCTTACCAGGGTTTACATGGGATTGTGGCATTGCAGACAGTAGCTTAACTTGTTATCCTATATTGCCAGCCCCAATTCAGCTTAATTTAAACTTGTCAGGTTATCAGGTACTTGTGAAAAAGGCTGCCAGAACATGGATGAGCTACATGCACAGATGAAAACTGTTTTACTTAGATTTCATGCCCTCCTCAGTCAGCAAAAAATCTTAGGCCAGTCAAGAAGTAGAATTTCTTACATTTTATTCTTATTCCCATTTATTTAAAAAAATTTCCTCTGTGTGAGAGGGAACTAGGAAAAGCACAGAGAGCACACACATCCATTTATCCATATGATGGCTATGTAGGCTGTTCATAAGTTTTAGCTGTTATGAATATTGCAGCAATAAATGTGTGAGAACAGGTAACTGACATGTTGATATCACTTCTTTTGAATATATTTATACACTTAAGTGTATTCAATATATATTGAATATATATATCTAAGTACAGGAGCTGTATGAATAACTTAAAAAATCAGCAGAAGATTAATAGGTGTTCAAATTGCTTTGAGAAGCAAATAGACAGAGACATATTGGCCTGTCATTTTCTGAGTCCCTTCCTAAAAATGAGCCTACCCAAAACTAGGATTAGGAAACTCAGTTGAACTCAGTTTGTGTCTCCCCGATGGGTGGGAGTGCTTGAGCCATCACCACCGTCTCCCACCTGGGTATCAAACTGTGATAAACAGACTTTCTTAGAAATTCACATGGTCAACAAATTAAGAAAGAAATGCTTAGCACTAATGGCTATCAAAGCAATACAAATCAAAACTACAGAGAAGTATTATTGTACCCTATTTAGAATTGTTATTATAAAAACGCCTAATAATGACAAATGTTGGTGCCAATGTGGAGAAAAAGGAAGATAGGAATGTAAATTAGTCCAGCCATTGTGGATCAGTAATATTTATCTTGTGTGTATATCATACCACCATATTTTTTTCTCTTTAAAAAGAGCCTTCAGGGGGGCCTGGTGCAATGGCCCAGTGGCCAAATCCTTGCCTTGCAAGTGCTGGGATCCTAAATGGGAACTAGTTCATGTCCTGATTGCTCTGCTTCCCATCCAGCTCCCTGCTTGTGGCCTGAGAAAGCAGTGGAGGATGGCCCAAAGCCTTGGGACTCTCCACCCATGTGGGAGACTGGGAGAAAGCTTGTTTCAGCTTTCTCCAGCCACTTGGGGAGTAAACCAGTAGATGTAGGATCTTTCTGTCTGTCTCCTTCTCTGTGTAAATCTGCCTTTCCAATTGCAATAAAGAAATGTCCTGACTCTCATGCAAACCGGTGGGTGATGTAACCCAGCTCGCAGGCTTTGCTCTTGCATGTACTGCGGAGTCCTGCAGCCAAATTGGGGTTACCTCAAAGAACCCTTACTGGCCTGTTCCCTGTCCCAGTTTTCATGTGTGTTGGGAGATGTTGCAGCCTCTTGCAACCCAGTTGGCTCCAGCCCCACTTCTTGCATGTACCAGTGGGTGTTGGGACCTAGCCTGGCCTGCTCCCAGCCTCAGTTGCGGAGCTCACTGATGGGTGCTGCAGCCTGTTTGCAGGACCTCTACAAACTCCTGCTGTTCTCACTCCCAGCCCCTGTTCTCAGTGGAAGCTGTGGCCTAACACAACCCACTCACCACTAACCCTGGCTCTCGTGAACTCTGGTGGTTGGTTGTGTTCTAGGGGGATTGTACCCAAAGATTCCCTACCTGGCCTGCCTTCAACCTTAGTTCTTGTGCATTCTGGTGGGTGCTGCAGCCTAACCTGGCCTGGCCTGGCCTGGCCTACCCCCAGTCCCAGCTCTCTCCAGTGGATTCTGCAACCCAGCCCAACTTGTCCTGCCCCCAGCACCTGCTTTTGTATATGTTAGTTGGTGCAAAGGCTTAGCCCTGCCCAGAGTGCTTCTAATCCCAGTTCTTGCTGGTGGATCCTGCAGCCTACCCTGGCCCAGCCTACCCTCAGTCCTGGCTGTTGTACATGCATGTGGCTGCTTAGGACTGACCCAGGGTGGCCCTATGGATTCCCCTTTCTGATTTAACTCATTTCAGCTATCTCAGTTACCTATGTGTATAGTATCCTGGTCTGTGAAATCCCCCAGTAATAATTTAATACGTGTCAGGCTGTTAGTGGCCCCCATTCTGACCTGTCTGCAGTCCCCTACTCCTAGCAGTGCACACCACTTCCCTCTTCAAGGATGTGATGGTGATGGCAGTGGGGTGACCCTGGTCAGCGAGTATCCATGGTGGCATGGTGGGTTTTCCACCCTCATTCCTCTAAGTCTTAATTAAAACAAAAATTTAAAAAGCATCTGTGCTGGCAAACTGATACAGTTAACACAGAATTGGCATTAAACTGTCCCAGAACTGGAGCCAGCTGTTGGTGGATTTTCTCCCAGCAGTTTAGCATTTGCCTAGGTACAGGGTAAACCTAGGCAATTATCTACAGCTGGGGAAAAGTTATAATATTTATGTTGATTATCAAACTGTCATTGAGGGTAAGAGTTCATGTGAATGCAATGGGTAGAGCTTAATAGTGATTGAGTTTATTTAAACATTGATACAACTTCATTTTTCTTTTAATTAAATTGTGTGTATATGTATGGATTTCAGGTACTGATCAAAGAGCAGATTTATATTTGGAAGGAAAAGATCAGCTTGGAGGATGGTTTCAGTCTTCTTTATTAACAAGTGTGGCAACAAGGAAAAAAGCACCTTTTAAGTAAGTATTTATACCTGAACTAAGCAAATCTGCATTTTTTGCCTACCTCTTCTAAGTATTTGCTAACATGTGAAGCACTGTGCTGATGGGTCTGAAAAGGAAATGTATTGTGATGACAAACACAGTGAGGTGAAGTGGTAGGTTCAGCATAGTTCAGGCATCAACAAAAGCTAGTCTCCTTGTCCTACTTTGGCTGTTGTGGACACTTCGGGAGTGAACCAGTCAGTGGATGGAAGATTTTTCTCTCTTTCTGTCTCTCCTCCTCTCTGTATATTTGACTTTGCAATAAAAATAAATGTTTAATACAAACACAAAAAGCCAGTCAGGCATGGGCCAGGATGAAACCAGAAGCCTGGAACTGCATCCTGGTTTTCCCTGTGGATGACAGGACTCCGAAATACTTAGGCTATTAACTTCTACCTTCCCAGTTGCAGTGTTAAAATGTAGAATAGCTGAGTCTCAGTTTGGCACTCGTCAAAGGGATGTGAGCATACCAAGCTTAGCTGGCTACGCCACGACATCTATCCCTGAGACGTTTCTTGAGACATTTGTAACGGAAGTCTGTGTTGTGAGGATGGAGTTAAGCCTTGTGTGGGCATCCCGTATCAGTGCCACTTCCAGCCTTAGCTGCTCTGCTTTCAATGTGACTTTCTGCTGTTGTTCCCAGTTGGGGAATGGGCAGTGTGTTTCTCTTTATCTCTTCTCTGTTTCACTACCCTTCACATGAATACATAGACATATTCATGTATATACATACATTTTTAGAAAGACGTATTGATTTTGAAGACAGAGTTCATGGAGAAAGGTCTTTGATTAAGTGACTTACTTTACAAGTGACTGCAAAAGCAAGACTGGGACTTTATCTAGATTTCCCATGTGGGTGGCAGAGGCCAGGTCACTTGGGCTCTGCTTTTCACCAGGGCATAAGCATGAAGCTGGATGAGAAAAGCAATCATGGCTTGAACAGGTGTCTCTATATGATACTGTCATTGCAGGCAGTGGCTTAACTGTGCCACAATGCTGCCTCCACCAGGTTTTATAAAATATTTATTTATTTCAAAAGGTAGAGTTAGATGGGGAGAGAGAGAGATCTTCCATTTGCTGGCTTACATTTCACATGATTGTAATGGCTGTGGATGGATGAGGCTGAATCCAGGAGCCAGCAACTTTATCTCCCATGGAGTGGCAGGGCCCAAGTAGTACTTGGGCGATCTTCCACAGCTTTCCCCGGGTATACTAGGGAGCTGTTATTAAAAGGGGAGCATCTGGGTCTTCAGCCAGTGCCCATATGGGATATCTGCATTGCAGTAAACAGCTTAACTCGCCACCATGCTGTTCCTAATAATAAATCTTAAAAAAAAAGATTGCAGGGCCCGGCGCGGTGGCGCAAGTGGTTAAAGGTCCTCGCTTTGCACGCCCGGGATCCCATATGGGCGCCGGTTCTAATCCCGGCAGCCCCGCTTCCCTTCCAGCTCCCTGCCTGTGGCCTTGGAAAGCAGTCGAGGACGGCCCAAAGCTTTGGGAACCTGCACCCACGTGGGAGACCCGGAAGAGGCTCCTGGCTTCGGATCGGCATAGTATCGGCCCGTTGCGCTCACTTGGGGAGTGAATCACCGGACGGAAGATCTTCCTCTCTGTCTCTCCTCTCTGTATATCCGCCTTTCCAATAAAAAAATAATAAAAATAAATCTTTAAAAAAAAATTGCAATAGGAGAAGATACATGGCTTTCGTCTTACAATCCTAAAGGCACATCACTATCAAAGTAGTGACTACCAAGAACTAGAAGTTAGCCAGTCAGAGCAAAAGCAGTGGTCATAGCAACAGTTTTTGGTATGCTTAAGGTATTTAATTTTCTTGAGAGCCGGAGAATAGTAGTTTCTGCTTGTTACGTGAGTATTTTGAGAAATTTTATCAAAGCTTTATCAGAGCAGTGTCAGGAAAGTGTTATTGGAGACAGACCTTCTCCATGACAGCACTCCTGATCATTCCTGCACGGCAGATCTGCAGGAGTTTCCAATAAAAATCACCAAGTCCCCACTTTACAATCATAGTTTAGCTTAATTTAGCTTCTTTTTTTTTTTCAGTTTAAAAGAATTTACTTGTGACTCTGTTTCCTTCCTTTCCAAGACAACATTGCCTTTGTTGCAGCTTTTAAATAAATGTGGAGAAAATTCATTTTATCATATATGCTAATTGTTTATATATATATATATGTGTGTGTATATGTTCAAATTACTATGGTGAAACCAAAGCATTTTAAAATTAAACACTTTGTTTCACAGTTCACTTGAAAACAACTTTTGAAATTCTAATGGAATATTGCCCAGTTTAAAATAACTTGGCAAATGTTGATTTTTGCTGCCTTACAATGAGAACATGCAGCAGAGCAATTTGCATGCTATGCTTTTTGCGTGACATGCTTTGAAAAGCCAATGCCTACTCCACCACATACCAGCACTGTGATTCTGCTTGCGGCACTGACATCTCATGTGGGTGCTGGTTTGAATCCCGGGTACTCTACTACCTGTCCAGCTCCCTGCTAATGAGCCTGGGAAAGCAGAGAAGATGGCCCAAGTACTTGGACTCCTGTACCCTGGAGGGGATCCATATCCTGGCCTTGAGCTCGTCTCCTGGAGCATTGTGGTATTTAAGGAGTGGATCAGTGGGTGGAAGATTTCTCTGTTTTTTGTTACTTTGGCTTTCAACTAAATATTTTTTGACTTTCAACTAAATATATATTTTTTAATGCAGGAGATAATTAGTTTTTCTTAAATTGACTATGATAACTTTGATGGGATAATCTATAGTTGAAGATACTCTTGTACTGGTTACTTGAGTGATCCAAAGCAGTAGATAACACTAGCTCAGGAAATACTTGATTTAGTACATGAAAACATTGGAAGTTTTTCTGTGTTGAAGTATAGTTTCCTGTTTTGTGTTCATAAGTAAGCTGCTAAAAGTCTTTCCAGAAAAGCTTTAATCTGTTAAGAAAAAAATCTTGTTTTCTGTTCAAGTTAAGGTATACTTTTTTTTAAGCTGTCATTTGTCTTAGAATAATTGAGCTTACTAAAATCATCTGGTTTATCTTCCTAGGACAGTGGTTGTTCATGGGTTTACCCTCGGAGAAAAGGGTGAGAAGATGTCTAAGTCTCTAGGGAATGTTGTTAATCCTGATGTTGTCATCAATGGAGGGCAAGTAGGTGGCTTCCTAAATCTCATGTTTATATTGCAAATTTCTAAAATTGATAACCACAACTCTTAATTATTTCAGTTAGAAAAGCTAACCTTTTATACCAAAAAACAGATTCTTATATAATATATGATCTTAATAAAAAAAGGATTATGGCCTTTTGAGTCATTTCAAGTCAGGGTTTCTGGTTAGGTCCTGAATCATACATAATCGATGAGTTTTTACACAAGATTTATTTATTTATTTTAATGACAGAGTTTACAAAGAGAGAGATAGAGAGGGTCAGAGAGACAGTTGCACCAGTTCATTCTCCAGATGGAGCTGGACCAGTTTGAAGTCGGTAGCCGGAAGCTTCCTTCAAGTCACCCATGAGGGTTGTTAGGGGTCCAAGGATTTGGGCCACTTTCTGTTGCTTTAGCCACTAGTTGAATCAGAAGTGAAGTAGCTGGGACTGGAACCAGTGACCCATAGGGGATGCCAGTGTTGGAAGTCAGTGACTTTATTTGTTAGTTTACCACATTGGCCCCATCTGAGTGTTTAAAATGTAAACTAATTTTGCAGTTAAAAGAGAATTGTATAAGAAATGAATGAGATTACAACTTTTACATAAATGCATATTTCATTATTATATGCTTGGAAATTGTTTTTACTTGATTGTCACATCACATCTCAAATTGATCACTTGCAGTGTTTTTTTTTTTTTTTTGAGTTGCTTTCATAAAAGAAATTGTGACTATTACTTTAGTGCTATGACTTTTGACTGCCTTCTTTTCCTGTTATCAGTTGTGATTTGAGTACTGAGTTGCTAGGCAATGAAGGCTGAAAGGGAAGGCAGGCAGTTCATGTCCTCCCCTTACCCAGCATGGGGACACTGCACTGCCTTGTGCATAAACACTAAGACAGGTGGATTCAGACATGACTAGCAAAGAGATGAAGCATTAGCATCAGTGTGTTGAATATATTAAGATTCCAGAATGTATTCTTTTGAAGAGTCTTGATTTGAGACTGTCTGCCTGTATTTTATTGTAGTGAAATAAAATATTTTTTCTGTTAGTTGAAATTGAAAGTCTTTGTATCTTTTTTTTCAATCAAAAGGATCAGAACAAAGAGCCTCCTTATGGTGCTGATGTTCTTCGCTGGTGGGTAGCTGAGTCTAACGTCTTCACTGAAGTGACGATTGGTCCATCTGCCCTGAATGCTGCTAGGGATGATATTAGCAAGGTTAGCATCGTTATTCTTCTTAATGAGAAGTTTTCTAAATTATCGTTTATAAAATTAAGATACATTTTACTTGAAAATGAGAGGCTGTGAGCATTGTAAAATTTCCTCTGTTAATTTAAGATAATTGATATGTATAATAATTTCATATAACATCTTTACATTTTATACATTGTGTCATATACAATTTTGCATTAACTTTGTATACATTTTAAGTACTTAATAAGTTTACATTTATTCTATTTAACATTTTTTTTTGTTTTATTTGTTTGAAAGACACAGAAATAGATCGACATAGATCTTTTATCTACTGGTTCGCTTCTTAAATGCCAAAAACTGTTGTGACATGGCCAAACCAAATTTAGGAGTCTGGAATTCAACTCGGGTGTCCCATGTGGGAAAGTTGGGTGGGAACCCAACTACTTACGCTATCCGCTGCATGTGCTAGGGAGTCTATTAGCCAGAGGCTGGGATCAGAGGCAGAGCTGGGATTGAACCCAGGGACCCCAAACAGGGAATAGCATCTCAAGCTGTGCCTTCCTTTTGCCATCATTTTCACCTGTAAAAAAGTTGAAATAACATTCTCAGCTACGGATAAACTAGGATACTAAAAGGTGATTGTTGTCCTAGTATTATAAAGAAATAAAGTGGATATTCAGTCTTCAACTGTGGATCCAAAAATAAGCTATTGGAATGTGAGTTTGAGGATTTTCTGTTTGTTTTTTGTTTGCATGTGTATTCTTATTTAGGAATGATATGGTAAGAAACATAACCCGTTAAAATTCTCTAAGAGTTGGATGGACTTAGGTGGTTATAAAATAGAAAGTTTTCAGTAAAAATCAATAACCTCTCATAAACTTTAACTGTAATTTTTCTCACCACGAACAGCTTAGGAATACACTCCGCTTTCTTTTGGGTAATTTGGCTGATTTCAACCCTGAAACAGATTCTGTCCCTGTGGACAATATGTACATCATAGACCAGTATATGCTACACTTACTTCAGGACTTAGCAAGCAAGGTAAGTGTGAAACAATAGGCTTTTGGAAAACAACAGTATCAGTATTCTTGTTTGTTAAAATTTTAGTTTTATCTGTGTTAAACAAGTCTTGTTAGGAATAGTTGCTATCATACTCTCGATAAATTACACTTGCTGAATTCTGTTCTGCTTCAACCGGTTGTGAAGTGTTCCGGCATGCGTCCTAAGTTCTCAAGAGAGAGCCGCGTGGGCGAGCGGTAGGCCCTGCTTGGCGTTAGGCCAGTGTTTTTTTTTCTCTTTTGAAAGTAACTTTATTTGTTCAACAAGACAAAATTAAGTAAGAGTTGCTACAAAAGTGCTCTATGGAATAAAATATAAAAATAGCTGAAGTTACTTACGTGTTTTGTAAAACATTGTTTATTTATATAGAAGCACAGATAGTTTGTGTTTTGTCAAAATTGAAAATGTCTTTAGCTTCCGGATATACTCAAATTAGAAGCATAAATGCTGATTTTTACCTAAATCAGAAATTGATGAGGTGTAAATGGGGGAGCATTCGTGAATAGTTGGTAACCTTTACTCCAGGCTGCTTTAAAAATGTAACTTCATCATTTAAATCCTGATCCTCTCTCCTGGTAAGTGTTCTTTTGTAGACCCTAGGGAGCAAACAGGTGTTTTTGATTATATGAATTTGTTTTTTTTTTTCAGAAATGATGCTTGAAAGACACTGAAGAATTTGTTTTGTTTTGTGCCTAATTTGTGCTTGTCTGCTTTTGAAACCTATTTGGATCCTGGTGATTTTCATGTTCAGTTGTTTATCTCCGCTTCCACATTTGTTTTGCTTTTGTTCCCTAGATTTCTGAGTCGTACAAACAATATGATTTTGGAAAGGTTACTCGGCTGTTGCGAGCATTTTATACAAGAGAGCTCTCCAACTTTTATTTCAGCATCATCAAAGATAGGTAGGTATGACTAAATGTTAAAATGCTCAACAAATTTCTACTAAATGTCTAGTTCGCGTTTGGCAAATGTTGGGGATGTAGCTGGGATCTGGGGTCAAGTGTGATTCTGCGTTTCGACTTGCTACTTCTTAGCTTCGTGATTTGGGGCAACCTGCCCAAGTTTCATCTTTAAGGATAATCATATGATATAGTTTTGAGAATGAAAAGAGATAATATACATAAAACACCTAGTGGTGTTTTATAAAGAGTGTGTTCATGAAGTAATAGTTGCTAACGTGAGAGAGTAAACATAATACTGTTTTCAGGAATTTCCGGATCTTTAATTGAAGAGACAAAAATACAAGAAATTTCCTAAGAAAACTGTGTAATATTATATTCTGTGGAAGGCCTGATGTTAAGTGCTATCTTTTTTTTTTTTTCTAAAATTTATTTTTATCTGAAGGGTAGTTTTTACAGAGAGAGAGGAGGAGACAGGGACAGAGGTCTTCTATCTGCTGATTTACTCCCCAGATGGCTGCAATAGCCAGAGCTGAGCCTGTCTGAAACCAGGAGCCAGGATCTTCCCTCCGGGTCTCCCATGTGGGCGCAGGGGCCCGAGGACTTGGACATTTCTCCCCTGCTTTCCCAGGTCGTAAGCGGAGAGCTGGGTCAGAAGTGGAGCAGTCGGGACTTGATCCTGCTCCCACAGGGACGATGGGACTCCAGCTGTCCAGATCCCCAGAAGGATGATTTGCCTGTTAATGTTTCTGTGTCATTTTTTCTTTTCTTTCCCTCTTTCCTCTTGTTTCTTCTCCCCTCTCTTCTCCGCTCCCCTTTATTCTCTTCCCCAATTCTTCTCCTCTCTTCTTGTTTTCTTTTTTTTTTTAGAGACATAAAATTTTAAAATATTTTTGGGTAGCATTGATGTTTTATCATCTGTATACACTCAGCAATGTACAATCATGGTAAACAAACATTTAACATTTTCTTGGGCTGACAATAATTCTGGTCATCTTGTTACGCAATAGTATCATCTCCTGTCTAAGTATACCGTTGTACCCTTTACTCTGCCTCTGTCTGTACTCCCAAGTCTCTGGGAACAGCTGTTTTATTCTCTTTAATCCTGTGAGATAACTCTTTATGCTGCACGTATAAGTGAGACCATACCATTCTTTTTTTTTTTTAAGATTTATTTTATTTTCATTACAAAGTCAGATATACAGAGAGGAAGAGAGACAGAGCGGAAGATCCTCTGTCTGATGATTCACTCCCCAAGTGAGCCAACGGCCGTTGCTGTGCCAATCAGAAGCCAGAAGCCAGGAGCCTCCTCCGGGTCTCCCACATGGGTGCAGGGTCCCAAGGTCCTGGGCTGTCCTCGACTGCCTTCCCAGGCCACAAGCAGGGAGTTGGATGGGAAGTGGAGCTGCTGGGATTAGAACTGGCTTCCATATGGGATCCCGGCACTTTCACGGCGAGGACTTTAGCCACTAGGCCACGGTGCTCGGCCCGACCATACCATTCTTATGTTTTTGTGCTTACTTGACTCAACACAGTGATCTCCAATTCCATGTTGATGCAAATGACAAGATTTCATCATTTTGTATGGCTGCATAGTATTCCAATCTGTGTGTATGCTGCATTTTCTTTATCTGATCATCAGTTGGTGGACATTTAAGTTGTTTCTATTGGCTGTTGAGAATAGCACTGCAGTAAATTTGGGAATTGCACTTTTTAACATAGTGATTTCATTTATCTTGAATATATACCTGGTGATGAGATTGTGGATCATATAATGGTTCTGTTTTTGGCTTTTTGAGTCACCTCCCTACTGTTTTGACAGTGGTTGTGCTAATTTATGTACCCACCAAGTTTTATCCTTTTTTCTACATTTTTGTCAGTACTGTCTTTTGCCTTTTTTTTTTTTAATATATTTATTGTATTTGAAGGGCAAAAACAGAAGGGGGTTGGAAGGAAATATATTCCATTCAATTGTTCAGTCACCCTGTGCCTGCAACAAGCTGGCATGGCCAGACTAAAACCAGGAAACTGGGACTCCTCGTGGCTCTCCCTTTTGACTGGTATTTACCTAACTGCTGAGCCTCCCAGAACACACATTAACACGAGACTGGAGTTGGGAGCAGAGGTGATATTGTGGTGTCAGCAGCCTGTTCAGCAGCTTAGCTGGCCGAATGTCCATCCCTGTTGTCTAGTTTTATTGTAGTCCCTTTCTTTTTTGTCCCTCTCACCATCTTTCTTTTTGGATTTTTCCCCTAGGTCTGTGTGTTTTTGTTTCTTATTATTTTCAGTAAATCTTTTATAGGCTTTTATTTTGTTATCTGAGTCTTACCAAAAACATCTTTGGTTATATCAAGTTACTTTGGGGTGATAGCAACTTAACATCCAGTATAAAGACAGGAAAATAAACACGTTTAATGAAGAAACTATATTTGCACCCCATTCCACCTCACATTTGTAAATATTGATTTTCCATTTTTCTTCTTTCTCTACTTTCTATTTCTTTAATAATTTGCACTTTTGTTCTCTAATTTTCCTATTAAAGCTATGAATTATAAATATACCGTGCTTACAGTATTGTAGCATTCTGGATTTGTCTGTTTAGTTGCTCTCACTAGTGAGCTTTTTACTCTCCTATTGTCTTCTTGTCTTCTGATTCATTAGTTTGTCTTTCAGCTTCAAGAACTTTAATGGTTCACGTAAGACAGGTCTGGTGGTGGCAGGTTCTCTTGCTTTCAATGGAGTTGGCCTTCTTGTTCCCTCATTTCTAAAGAATGGCTTTGTTTAGGGTACAGCATTCTTGGCTGGTACTTCTTTTGTTCAGTCTTGTCCTTCTCCTTTCTGACCCATATGGTTTCTGCTGAGAAGTCTGCAGCCTTTTTAGGTGTTGTTTCTTTCATTTGCAACGTTGAGAATATTCTCTTTATCTTTAACCTTGGCAGACTTAATTAAAATTTATATTGAGTGTGCTTGATTAGATTGACTCTGATTTGCAACCTTTGACCTTCCTGTACTTTGATAGTTGTATCTTTTTCTGGAGTGGAAAGCATTTTATTATCTTGTGCAATTTTCTTTTTATTTCTTTGGTATTCTCAGGTCCCTCTTAAAACCCAACCATTCAGATATTTTCTCATATTTAATTTTGCTTGAAAGGCAGAGAGAGAGAGAGAGAGAGAGAGAGACAGCGAGAGAGAGAGAGAGAGAGACAGCGAGCCTGCATCTGCTGGTTCATTCCCAGGTGGTCACACTTGGCCTGGTCAGGCAAAGCCAGGAGCCAGGAACTGCATCTTTGTTTTCCATGTGAGCATAGGAGCACAAATACTTGGGGTCATTCTTGTTTCTAGGACAGAGAGCTGTAGCAGAAGTGGAGCAGCCAGGACTCACTGGTGCCAATATGGAATGCTGGCATGGTGGGCGAAGCTTAACTTGCTACACCATTGTGCAGGCTCTGAGACTTGCTTTTTTCATGCCATCCCCACATTTTTATAAGATCCATTTTATTCTTCTTATTTTTTTTTCAACTGTGTATTTTCAAATAATGTCTTTGAGCTTACCAATTCTTCCTGCTGTTTGATGTGTGTTGCTGTTGATATGCTCTGTTTTAAATTTTGTTTAGTATATTGTTCAGTTGACAAAGTTTTGTTTGGTTTTCCTTTATTTCTTCCATCACTATTAAGTCTGTCACTTAGAGCATTAAACTACTCCTGATAGAGTTCACTGAATTTCCTTAAAGCCAGTATTTTGAAATCTTCATGCAAACATTAAACTTTTCAGTTTCTAGATGTTTGGTCATTAGGTGAGGCAGTGGATCCCTGGAAATTGTTGACGCTTGGTGAACAATCTCATTTGGACTTTGTCTTGCCAGAAGTTCTCAGTACTCTGCTTTCTCTGAACCTCTGGATATTTCTGCTGATTCTGCACTAGATGGCACACTAAATCAAGATTTGCCACATTTTTGCTGTTGATGTGTTTTCACTGTTTGTCATAAAATAAACCCCAAGTTCATACACGTGGCAAATTCAGTTTGTTCAGAATGTACTAGAAAACTGTCTACAAGGAGCAGTTTGATCTTACAAGTCTCTTCTGGGGATGGAGCAGACCTGTCATGTTTTGTTTTTTTGCTGCTGATGTGGACCCATATGCCGGGTTGCTCTGGTCAGGCCCTGATGATGCTTGCTGGCGCATGACTGATAACCTGGGCCGCAGAGCAGGTCTAGAGTCTTTGCAGATGCCATCCTGAAGACAGGGATCTTTAGAATCTTCTCTGTGTTGGATATTACATTTAAGGCACTAAGTCTCACACAAGTTCTGTGGAGGTTACTTGTTCTCTGCCCAAGTATGAACGTGGGGAAAGAGAAGCTGCCCCTCAGTTCTAAAGCAGTCACTTACGTGAGACTCACTTGAATCTCGGTCCCTATGCCCTGTGTAAACTTGGGTGTGTGTCTCAGGCCTTCTGTAAGGCTGGCAGTAATTCATGCAGAAACAGGTTCATCTCACCAAAGTGCAGGTGTCTGCCTGATTTGGGGGCAAGTTTAGATACTTTGGTCACCTCTGGCCAGGCACAGAGACTCATAGGATCTACCCACTGTTGAGTTTTACCAACCCAGCCTGGAGTCCAGAGATACAGTTCTGTGATTCCCTGGTTCCTCGCTGAAGTTGGTGGATGTGTGATAAAGGCAGCCTCTTGGCCACCTGAACTTGGGCTGCGCTAGATCACATCTGGGGCCGACTGTCACCAGGCCTGCAGTCTCAGGGATGCGCATCAGGCACACTTGAAGCCGGTAATGATATTTGCTGAAACAAATACATCCTAATGGAGTGGGGGTTTCTGTCTGATGATGGGACAAGTCCTCTGTCAGCAAGTTGCTGACCTGGTGGGTAGAGGGCTCCGGGTTCTGCTGGGAACTAGGACTCAAAGTAGTGGCCCAAAGGCAAAGTTCTATGGTTCCCTTCGTGCCTTGCTCACCAGCTGCTGGAATCTTGCTCTACCATTGGACAGAGCCGTCTGGCAGCCATCTGACTGTGGAAGGTCCCAATATTTAGACTACAGGAATGCCCATTGGGGAAAGACAATGGGGTGCTCCTGATTTTGAATGTTGCCACAGTGACCTGGCACTGGAATCAAGTCTGAGACTGAACTTAATTTCTTGTTTTGACATGGGAGGTAATGTGGCTCTCCAGATTGTGGCTTGGAGCTGGGAGAGTGATATTACAGGCAACTCTTTGCTTTCTGTTTTCTTCCTCATGTCTTTTCCCATTTTAAAACCAGGTGCTGTGCTCTTTGGCCTGGCTTCTGTGGCTTTTGTGAAAGTGGCTTAATGTGCCCTCAAACACGACCCTTTTAGGTACCTCTCCCTATGCTGCCAGGATGTTTTGCTTTTCTTTCTTTTTTCCCTTAATAAACTTCCTCAGCTTTTTCACTTAAAAAAAAAGTGGTTTGGTGTGTGAATAGCTGTTTAAATTGATATTTCTATTTAGGTAATTATCAGAGTATCTTGTTCAGCTGCTGTCTTGCTCTACCTTTGTGACAGTGACATCTTTATAGCAATGAGTTTAATGTCAGGTGTCAACCCAATCTCTCAGCACCTTAATGACCAGTTATGTGAGGATTATAACTCCCACTCCTTCCTTTAAGATACCTGCAGCATTGTGTAGATTGGGAAGTTGCATGTTAAATGCCATCAACTAACAGATTAGTTATCCTCTAACACAGTAATCTAGAGTTTGCCATCTACTTGAGGACCAGAATTGGACATAGTGAAACAGTGAGAGTTGTTTGAAGAGGTGTGTACACTTGGAGGGATTAGAGGGTAAGCTATCAAAAAGCTATGGGTGCCAGTGCTGTGGAATAGCGGGTAAAGCCACCACTTGTGACACTGGTCCACTTCCTATCCAGTTGCCTGTTAATGGCCTAGGAAAAGCCATGGATGATGGCCCTAGTGGTTGGACTCTTTGCCACCCACGCAGGAAACCTGGAAGAAGCTTGTGGCTGCTAACTTGAGCCTGGTCCAGCCCTGGCTGTTACAGCTATTTAAGGATTGAACCAGCAACTGGTTAATCTCTGTCTCTCCCTCACCAACTCTGCTTTTTAAATCAATCAAATCTTTAATTAAAAAAGAAAGGAAATTTTATTTTCTGATTAGGAGAGGCTTTAGAATCATATATTATAGGAGCAAACTTACTTGAGACAGATGCTATCCTGTTGTCAATCTCTGTTTTTATTCAGACTTTATTGTGAAAATGAGAATGATCCCAAACGGCGCTCCTGTCAGACTGCATTAGCTAAAATCCTGGATGTAATAGTCCGTTCTTTTGCTCCCATTCTTCCTCACTTGGCTGAAGAAGTATTCCAACACATACCTTACATTAAAGGTAAGGAGATCTAGTTATTTCTCTAAGTGAGAAGTATTCCTAATGAGAGTACAACTTCAGTTTTTATGTACCTTGTGACAATGAATGCTTTGTGTCCCAATGTGTCCTGGTCATTTTATAGTTTCTCAACCTATCTGTGCAAGAGCGGGATACATTTCTTTTTGGTGCTCAATCCATGTATAGTGTTTTCTTAAATGACAATGTTGAGAAGCTTCTTTTGTGAACGTATTTATAGATGTTTCACAATATATTTTAGATTTTATTAAAAGGCACAGTATGCTTTTTAAAATGACTTTTCTTATGGTTGTCTATTCTAATTGAACTAAATTTAAGCAACACTAGGAGCAGAAGTTAAGAAAGGGGGGAAAATCACTATAAGCTTAATAACCATAGGGGATGAGTGCTGATACTAGGATATTCCTATTTTATTTTTCTAAGCATCTTTTTTTCTTTGATATCTTACTATGTATTTTATCCTTGGTTGAAAATGTAACATATTTCTCAATGCTAAAATAAATGTGTTATAAACAGCTAGTATGAGTTTCTTAATATTTCATCAGATGACTATGATAAATAACATTTTAGTAAATGTTATTACTAGCATTAAAAGTAAATATTTAATCGTTAGAACTTTCAGTTGAAAAATAAGTGTAACTGAGTTAGTTTTTGCTTTTGTTTTTAAGAACCTAAGAGTGTGTTTCGCACTGGGTGGATCAGTACAAGTTCTATCTGGAAGAAGCCTGGCTTGGAGGAAGCAGTGGAGAGCGCATGTGCAATGCGAGATTCGTTCCTTGGAAGCATCCCTGGCAAAAATGCAGCTGAGTTTGAGGTTATCATTGTGATCGAGCCTGGACTGCTTTTTGAGATAATTGAGGTATGCAGCCATTTGGACCTTTGGAACTGGTACTGTTAAGATCCTGCTTTCCTGAGATTTGCTGTCTTAAACTGCCTAAATACTTTTTTTCTCCAATACTGTTTTCTGCATCTCAGTGCTCCTTTTCTTTTTATTTAGATGAGGATAACATAGTGGATCAGCGTGGGATGGGTGGCTCAAGGGTTAGGGAAGAGTGAGTGTGATCATTGTTTCCAAATTTTCTATTTCTCCTTCCTGCTTCCAAGAGGGGAGGGGTGTCCCTTTCCTTTATCTTGTAAATTATTATACTCAGTCTACATAACATTTACCTGTCACTTTTTAGAGATGTGGAAGGTATCATACCATTGTGTTGGCAGTGAAGACCTCAGTACTGGTTAGCAGATAGGTGACCCATGAGCCTATGACAGTAGCAGTGTACCACACAAAGGTTCTAGTTTTCTGAGAATTTTGTCCTGGATCAGATTCAAAACAAATGTTGTAAGATTTCCATCTTTAATTGTGTGAGAACTTGAAAAAAGTTGCTGAGTACAGTAGATTATCATATGTGCTTCAAAATGATCATACTATTTGCAAAGGGCCATTATAATTTTCTTCTTGGAATTCTTAGATTGGCCAGATTGGTTTAAAGTTTAACCTACTGTCTTAAAATTTCTGTTTAGTCTAAATGCTTAACAGATTTGCAATGAATATGTTTTAACCATTCGGCCTGTATCAATTTCCGGAGAAGTACCCATTGTATTTTCTTTGGTAAAATTAAAAAGTTTTCTTTTTGAAAAATTTATGCATTAAAATGGGCGTTTGTCACAGTAGTTAAGATAACAGTAAAATATGGTGCGTACATCCCATATTAGTGGTGTTAGTTTAAGTCCACTCTGTTTCCAATTAAAACATAGTGTTAATGCATGCCCTGGGAAGATCTTCACAGTGTAGTCCTAGTCTTTTTGTCATATGTGATTACATTTTTTTAGACTTCAGTCTTTTGATAAGCTAAAAAGAATATAGCTTGTTTTGGATCATTTATATTGAAACTTAGAGCATAATCTTGTTTTCTTATGGATTTTTCGACATATTTTTTTAATATTTATTTTCATTTTATTAGAAAGGCAGATATAGAGATCTTCCATACACTGCTTTACTCCCCAAATGTCTGCAACAGAACATTTGGGCCAGACCAAAGCCAGGAACCCAGAATTCACTCTGGGTTTCCCCTGATCTGCAATCTGCTAGGGTGCATATTAGCAGGAAGTTGGATTGAAAATGGATGAGCTCATAAGTCCCAGTGCAGTAGCCTAGCAACTAAAGTCCTCGCCTTAAATGCACTGGGATCCCATATGGGCACCGGTTCTATTCCTGGTGGCTCTGCTTTCCATCCAGCTCCCTGCTTGTGGCTTGGGAAGGCAGTCAAGGATGATCCAAAGCTTTGGGACCCTGCATCCACGGTGGAGATCTGGAAGAAGCTCCTGGCTTCTGGCTTTGGATTGGCTCAGTTCCGGCTGTTGTGGCTGCTTGGGGAGTGAATCATTGGATGGAAGATCTTCCTCTCTGTCTCCATCTCCTCCTCCTGTCTGTATACCTGACTTCGCAATAAAAATGAATAAACCTTTTAAAGAAAAAGGTGGATAACTCAAACTGGGCGCTCTGATATGGGATGCTTTCATCTCAGGTGGCATCTTAACCACGTGTGCCAAACACCTGTTCCAGGCTTTCCTTTCTAAAGGAATATCTACGCAGGCTCACACATCATTTTGAAGATCAAAATTACAGTAAAGAATGTAAAGTGTGTCAGACATTCAAATTCAGTGTACTTCATAAGGGTTCTTTGTATTCATATTACCACCATTGGTATTCTTGGATTGAAAGTGAAGTTTCCAAGACTTGAGACAGTGTCTGTGTTTGACACTCGTGTTGCAGACAAGTGGCCTTGCTTGCTATACCACAGTGTTGGCCTCTAAATAGTTCCTTAATCCTTGTTCCAAGGAGGACTTTTACAGGAATAAGAGCATGGTAACTTCTCTTTGTCTATTTCCTCATTTGTAAAATGGGATTGTAAATGTAGAATTCTTTTGTGACTCTTAGGAATGAGACATCTAGCATTTAGGCAAGTGAAGGAAGGTAAGCATATATTCTTAAATACGGTTGATTGCTTCAGTTAAAAACCTGTCAAACTAGTGGTACTAAAAGGTTTCTTGCTAAACATAAGAATCCATAGTGTCTATTTTCATATGTGCAGTCTATGATAAAAATTTAGAGAGTCACTTTCACATGCTCACTTCCAGATGTTACAAGCTGAGGAGACTTCCAGCACCTCTCAGTTGAATGAACTGATGATGGCTTCTCAGTCAACTCTACTGGCTCAGGAACCACGAGAGAAAAGTGAAGATGCAATTGAACTTCAAGGAACATTCCTCATCAATTTAGAAGGTAAGAAGCGATTGAAATTAATATGTGGTCTCTGTAGAACTAAGTAATGATAGGTTACCTCAAACGTTGTGCTGGACAGCTAGATTCCAGATAGAATCTGTCTTTTCAGGGAGACAGCACAAACTCTTGCCAATTCCCAAGGCATTTCTCAAAAATACTCCACCTAATAATCTTTGGAACTGAGAGCGAGGACTAGAAGAGGCAGGAGATTAATTTCCTTTGAATAAATAATTGTCATCGATGTGAAATATCCTCTCCTTTGACACTTAATCCTCCAGTGCTTTCCAAGTCCCACCCAGCCCTCTCCATCACTGATTCCAAAATTCCCTATTATGTACACACAAAATTAAAATATTTAGCTAGTGATTATTTGAAAGGCAGAGTGGCCAAGGTAGGAGGATTTGAAAGAGGCAGGGAGAGAAAGAGAGGTATTTCATTCATTAGTTCATTTCCTACATGCCTGCAATAGTTGGGGTTGGTCAGGCTAAATGCAGGAGCCCTAAACTCCATCAGGGTCTCCCATATGGTTGGCAGGGCTCCAGAACCTGCTCCATCATCTGTTTTCCCCCCAGGATGCATCAGAAACAACAGGATTAGAGTCTTGGGGCCAACATTGTGGCTCAGTGTGTTAAGCCCCACACTTAACACTAGCATCCCATATGGACACTGATTCAAAATACCCAAGTGAAGTTCTAGCTTCCTGGCTTTGACTTGGCCCAGCCATGGCTGCTGTTACCATTTAAGGGGGTAAACCTGTGGATGGAAAATCTCTCTCGCCCTCTCTCCATGTTTCTGTAACTCTGCCTTTGGAATAGATTATATATGATTTTTTTTAAGCAGACTCACGATATGATTCCAGACACTCCATTGTGGGTGCTGTGGGCGTTCTAACCAGGGGCATTAACTTGCTGTACCATAGTGATCACCCTTATTAAACTATTCTTAATGAGGGTGTAAGGAAGCTTTCAAAAATATTTTTTATTCAAAAGGCAAAATTACATAGAAAATAGACAGATCACCCTTCCACTGATTCACCCACAAATGGCCACAACGGCTAGCCAAAGCCAGGAGCTTCTTCCAGGCATTCCTTTTCCAGAGTCTTACCAGGGAGTTACATTGGTTATAGAACAGCTGGTGCTTGAACTAGCACCAGGATTTGAAGAACTGATGCCAGCACTCTTGAGGTAAAGGCTATTCCATGGTACCACCCCCAGGAAAAAGTTGTATTGAACTCCTTCTCACAGTGGTATATCTTAGGCATTTTAAAAATACTTAGAGGTCGGGCGTGGCGCAGCTAAGGTCACTGTTGGTCTTGGTCTAGTGGGATTCCTGAGGTGCAACTTGCTTGCCAATGGGATAGTGTCTGTGGGTCCCAGTGATTATGCTGTATAGAGTGTTCCTATCACCTAGGGTCAGTATGGATTCCAGTAGGAACTCCTTCCACGCTGGTGCCAGACCAGGGGATCTAATGTGAATGCCTCCTGTAATCAGGCCAGTTCTCCATGAGGCTCTTTACTGGTCACTGATGCTTGTGGCCTTCTCCTGTAGCTGGGATCACCTGCACAGGCATTTGGTAGGTCAGTTCTGCCAACACTGCTGTTAGTTCTGCAGTGAAGATTCTCCCTGACTGCAGGGCCAGGTGGTCAGCTGCTGATTGCCTTTGTCCTTTGTCTGAGGCCTCTGTGTCATGTTGTTTGTGGTTTTTTCCCTTACTGAATTCTGGTGTTCCTGAGCATTCATCTTGAAATGTGGCTATTTGTTGATTTGGTTCTCCTGTGCTTTGGAGGAAGGCAACATGGAGTACCTCTATTAGCCCAGCTTGGAAAAACTCATTTTGTTAGTAATTATCTTTTAGTGGATTATCAACCAGATCCATCCTTTGGGATGGAAATGTACATGAAACAGCATTAATAGAGTAACAAGCAGGGCAAACAGGTATTCTGGGAAAGCTGATATGGCCTCTATCTTTCACCATCAGGAGGTAGGGGACTGATTTACATCAGTTTGAAGTTCTGCTTTAGCACCACTGATCAGATAATAAATTCTGGTTTAATTTTCTTTCTAAATGTTAAACTATTTTGTAGTTGTACAAAGTGTTTAAATTATCAGGGCCTGGTATAGTAGCCTAGCAGCTAAAGTCCTCACCTTGCATGCACTGGGATCTCATATAAGCATAGACTCTAATTCCGTCTCCAGCTCCCAGCTTGTGGCCTGGGAAAGCAGTCGTGGACGGCCCAAAGCCTTGGAACCCTGCACCCATGTGGGAGACTCAGCAGCAGCTCCTGGTTCTTAGCTTCAGCTTGAACTCAGCCCCAGCTGTTACACTTGCTTGGGGAGTGAATCATCAGATGGAAGATGTTACTCTCTCTTCTCCTCTCTGTATATGACTTTGCAATAAAAATAAATAACTCTTAAGAGATGAGGATAATTTAAACTTTTTTCCTTAAGAGTATTAATAGTATTAAGATAGCTATTTTGAGGACACTAAATTTGTTGCTACAGCTTGGTTTTTAAAATCTTGGTAGCTGGAAAGTCAATAGGTGGGTAAAGAGCTAGAAAGCCTGCTCTGCCTGAGCAGACACAACTCAGTTACTTGGGCAAAAATTGGTTCATTTCTTAGGGTCTCAGATCCCTCAGCTCTTGTTATCAGCTTTTACCATGTTTTTATTCAGGGGAAGGTGGGGCAGCATCTGACCCGTTTTACCAAGAGAGGAATGAGAAAGCATCACATACTACACCAGTTAAAAAATGCTGCATGTTAACTGAGCTGTCAAAATACTGTCATGTATCTCATTTATAGGTGGTGACATTCGTGAAGAGTCTTCATATAAAGTAATTGTCGTGCCCAGCACCAAAGAAAAATGCCCTCGCTGTTGGAAGTACACATCTGAGGCCTCAGATACACTGTGTCCCCGATGTGCAGGAGTTGTTAATGGAAAATAGTACTTGAGTACCACAGCTTAGCTGAGCTGTTTACAATACTAGACATCCAATATTCAGGTAATGAGTGAAAGAGTAACATGGAGAATTAGCGTCAAATCAGAAGTATAAAAGTACAGCATTTCCTGTAATGTATAATGTATATACAAAGTAGAAATATATGTATATATACACACACAACATAATGTGTGGAGGAAGACTTGTGTGTATTTCTTTAAAATGAACTTGTTCAGAAAATATGCACAGAAAATGTTTTATATTTTATAAATCTTTTGGACTCAGAAAAGCATGATGTCTCAAAAATAAAGGCGTTCTGAAAAACTACTGGTTGACGGTGAATACTGAATGGCAAAACTCTTTGTTCTAAGAGAATGGCAGACGGTGTTTCCTCAGAGTCGAGAAGAGTCACTTCTTTCTAACCACTGGTGAAAAGAGCCAATGCTGCAGGTTGTTTTAGAAAGGAAAACATCACCAAATTTGTTATTCAGATGAGATGTCTTAATAGTTACATTTATGAATGTTAAGGAAACATGAAAGCTTAAAATTTATTTTACTAATATACATAACTTCACAATGAAGAACAGATACAGAAAATAGCAGTATATACAGAATTTCACTACTTACAATACATTACAATAGATAAATAATAGAGCATTTTATAAACAATTCAGTACTAGATTAAAATCTTTCTAAGGAAAGCTAATTCTACTCAGCAGAAATCTAAATTTTAGAAGCCCAACAGATTAATTCCTATCAGAGTAGAGAGGACTTCAGTATTGTTACAGTATACTGCAAAAATATTTGTCTTTTGTAAATGATGTGGATTACAGCAACGTCTAAGTGAGTTATATTCAACTTAAGCTTGGTTTTATTAAATCTTGGTTTTCTGTGATCTTAAATCTAAAAAGCAACCTAAATGTAACAGTGTTTACTTTGACCTTTAATGGATTTTTGTGACAAATGTGGAAATTTTCTTTTTGCAAAAGTATGAAAGGTTTATAAGCTTAGTTCTCTATGCTGTTTATCTGCTTTATCCTGGCCCCTTCAGGTCTGTGTGTAAACGCAGCCTGTAATGTGGAAGTTATTATTTGAACATTTTTTTCCTTCAACATCATACAGTACATTTAACAAGGTCAAAAAAAGTGCATTAAACTTAATTGAGAAATGTGCAGGAGGTGGGAATATACACTAGGAAAACACTATTGGTTATTGTCTTACCATCAACAACTACAGTAAGTGCCACACAGCTTTGAGAAACATTCTGTGTAACATCTGCTTCCTTGATTGGTAGCTCTTCATTATTACAGAATACACATGTAAGCATGAATTTTATTTTCCTACCTATATTAAAAATCCTTTATTCAGTAAAAAAGTACTTAGCTGCTTTTCCTAACCATACAACACAGAACTCACTTTAAGAAACCAATGAATGTTAAGCCTGTAAAGTTAGATTTCTTAAGATTTGTATTATAGTTTTGTGAACGATAGTTGAGTTTATTCTTGGTGATCCCCAGATGTGATTGTGTGTTCTACAGTGAAACCAGTTATTATCTAAAATGCTTAATCAGTAACCCCTCCAAGAAAATAATGGAATTAAGGATTTAATCTTTAAGTTTAAATCCCTGTACTTTCAAGTTTCCTGACCAGCTTTCCAAATACTTTCAGAGTATTTAGAACACTCATGGAAAGAACTGATTTCCTTAGGTTGTATATAACAAGAGACAAGGTAAAGACAAACATTCTGGAGTGTGTGGTGGGGTAGTGGAGATCCAAGTAGATGCTGCGAGTTTGGACAAGCTTATGGCCCTATCCATTGCAGTTAATGTACAAAATGTGTGCCATGATGAGGCTCACAAATATTCAAGACTCCTTAAAAATTTACCTTTGAAGACTGAAAATTTGATGCTACTTAAATAGTAATTATTATTTTTTCCAGTAATAATCTGATTTGCATGTAATCTAGTTGGAAAGAATTCGTGTTTGATATTTCCAAGTATCTATTTTTCTTTTATCTCCCTGAAGGTCATACTCAATTTTGAATAATTGCTATAGTTGGCTTCTTAGATGAAAGTGAACAAACTTTTGTATCACAGTAAGTTACTATGAATAACAATTGTGATCTTTGACAGAATAATAATTACACTGTATGGCTACATTTCAAGGGTGTACAATAATATTTGGTATTTGTAGAAGTCAAAGTACTTTTTACAGAATTTTGGTTAGCTTTGTCTTAATCAGTAAGTATTTAGCACTTGGTCAGAGGTAGGCACTCTTGGGTACAAAATTTGCTGTATTTTATCCTCTCAACTGAGCTGTGAGGTAGGTTTGCTAATGCTGTAATATGTTAGCTTTTTTCTGTACTGTTCAAGGCCAGATAATATCACCAATCCCAGAAGCAGATATTTCTAAACACCTGTAGGAAAAACAACTTGGACTTAAAACTTTTTAGATTTTTTGTGTCAAAAGTCTTACAAGATAATACATTTTTTTTTTTTTTACAAGTACCTGATCTAAAATTTTGCAACTTGGCAAAATTAATTTTACTTAAGCTATCATTAATTTTGCTGCTTTGTTTGCTTCCTAGATCTTCAGTTTTGGCAAGTACAATAGATTAAGGGGTTCTCTTTAGTGTCCCTTCCGATGAACAGGATGATCTTGAAACCTTTCTTCTTCCTCAAGCAACAGCAGACTTGGGGAAAGGAACCTGTCAGCATCCTCAGCTCCCACGTGACAGCCCAGGACAGGATTAAGCATGGTAACGGAAGCATGTTCCCAGTGTTTATTACAGGAGAACGGGAGAGGGCTCTAACCTTTGCAGATGCAGACTGTACATAAACACAGTTAAATTTAATTACAACAATAACACTTGGGCTACGAAATAATAGATTTCATAGGAATATGATCTGTAAATTATAACCAATCTTAAATACCAAAATTTAACAATAAAGCTACGTGTTTGAATTAGAAATAAAAGTAAAATATCTGCATTAGTAATTACAGCAGAGTTTATATTTTATCTTCAGTATTAACAAAGGGGAGGAGGGATTTAGCTAGGATGGCACTTTGAAAATTAATACATATTTTCAGTTATTTTACAAAAGAACAAAATAAGACATACCATAAAATTCCAGATCTCACCGTGTAAAATAACCATGCACTAATTCATGTTAGAGTCACACAAGTTTAGACTATTTTCAGTAGGTTAAGTGTCATAAAGGAGGAATAGATATGGCTTCCACAGCTTCAATAAGGTGTAAGGCCAGACTATACTGCCCATGCTTTTCTGGTAAGAGCTCTATTACTTTATTTACTAGTTTAGCAGTTGTTGCAATTGGCACTTCAGTGTTTTGAAGATCCTGGGAGTCCTGCAAATGGGACACAAAAAGTAGCTCAGTGATTACACAACTAAATGATTGGTATGAACTTCCCAGTAACTACAACAATTACTTCCCAATAACATTACTTTACTTTGGAATTAAAATGTCCTTCATAATTTTCTAATACACATTTTAGAAAACATCGAGTGTCCGAGGGCTGATCTCACTTTACTTACCATTGTTTTAAGCCAGGTACACAGTGTGGGTGGCAGTCTGGCCAGCAGCTCCATTCCCTCTTTTGTGTGGGCATGGAGGAGTGCATGCGCCAGCCTCTGCCCAGTCAACACCAACAGCTGAGAGGCCAGGACCTCTTTGTCCTGGACCTGCAGTATGGCCTGAGCATACAAACGCAGAGATGATACAGTAAGTGCTCATGTTTCACTTTAGGAAAAGGGGTGTCAGTGAGGAGATCTCATTGTTTTTGAGTTGTGGCACGGATATAATTGTAATAAATCAAAACCAAATATTATGCTTATCACCTATTTTTTTCTTACTGCATAAGAAGAAAACCTAAAAGTGTGGTTTTTTTTTTAAGAAAAGGAATTCTGTTATATGTTATGACTGCTTAAAATCTTCCACTGCCTTTTGAAAATACTAGTCTTCTATTTTTCTAGTATTTGGTCCTGCCAACTTCCCAACCTCATCTCTTGCTTCTTTATTCCTAACACAAACTTTCAAAAATTTTATGGGCAATATTATGAAAAAATTATTTCAGTAACATTTTGTTTGCATCAAATAAAAGTATCTTAATTCCATTTCCCAAACTCTCTGAAGACCTTCCTGTCTGGTAGGCCATCCTGAGCCTTCTCCACCTGGCTGCCAGTCCCTCCCCAACTCATGGTTTCTGTCCTTGTGGTTCTGTCTAGCACCCTTTCTGCAGTGTTCTGAATGGCTGACTGCTGCAGGGCTCAGTGTAAATGTCACTGTCTCTAAACAATCTAAACCACTGCAGCAGTTCTGTTTATACCACTTAGAGAATTTTACATGTTTCCATGAAGAGATCATCTGTTTTATTTTCTGTTATGTCCCTGAGCATTAGAGCAAATATGACCCACTGGGGATTGTGATTATGGTTTTCTATTTTAATATTTAAATGGTCATTTCTGTGCCCAAGAATTCTAACAAAAGGAAAACCAAAATGCTATGCTTTATTGGTATTTTTACTATCAGTTTTTATAACTTGAGCACAATGGTTATTCCTGGGGTTGTTATTACCTCTTCTCCCAGGTGGTCAATTCCGTAGTTGTACAGTTCCACCACATAATGTCTTCTAACAACATCTTCGCTAACTTGAAGGTGATGGGCTAAATCCACAGCCAGGACTGGCCAGTCCAGGTCCTTCCCAAAAGCAGTGCTAACTGCCTCTTCTGAGAGAGCTTTGTCCTTTGCCGCTGAATGCTGCGAATGCACAGCTGCACTAACAACTTTAAGTAAGAACTTGAAAACAGAAACAGATGGTAATATCATGTTAGCATGTTTCATTAAAAAGAAAAAAAAATCTAAAAGTAATTGTTAGTTTTTCAGGTACTATAGTGGTTTTTCCATAAAAATTATTCATCATTAAAACAGGAACACATAAATAAGAAAAACCATTTCTCAGGAAAACCTTGAAACTGGTCATCCTTTTAAAGGTCAGGTAGATTTTTGCTTATTTTTTTCCCAAGAAATAAAAATGAAATGAAATTACTGTAATTTACCTGTTGTCGTATAGAAATAAAATTTGGGTCCATTTCCCCGCTAGGCAGTAGCTGAATTGAAGTTAGGTCTTTAAAAAATGCATTTTTTCCCTAAAAAGAAAGAGATCATGAAAATCACTGAGTGTGGATTACTGAGAGAAAAGTCATTTAAGCAGGAATAAGTCAGTCACTGGTTGCCTTTAATGTTTTCCTTGACCAATAATATTTTACAATTTTATTCATTTGATTTTTATAGCAATGAACCAGGCTGTGATAGGCAGCCTTCAAGGAGGTCCCCAGGGGTTCCTTCACCCAGCGTGATCATGACTTGTATAATCCCTGCCTTGAGATGTGGGCTGGGGACTCCCAGGTAGAGATGAGAACAGGTAACTTCCAGATTAGATTCCCAAGGGACCACGGCTCCTGCCTTATGGGTGTTCAGATTCACTCTTGCTCTGCAGGGAGGGAGCTGTCGTATGGAGAGGCACATGGGCAAAGGACTGAACCTATTCCAGCAGCCAATGGAGCCATCGTGAGAGCATAATCCTGGCTAGTATCCGGACTGCAACCTTATGAGACACTTTAAGCCAGAGGTACTTTCAGAAAACCAACAATGTTTTCTTGTTTCCAATCACTAAATTTGGAAATAATTTGTTATGCAGTAATAGATGACTATATGTACTCTAAATCCTTTAAAAAACATTAACTTTAAGGATACAGATGTATATTTGAAAAGTTATAACAATATCTGAAAGCGAGATTTCAGAAGTTCTTTGGCAGAAAAGTGCAATGCAGAGCAAAGACTGTTGGCTTTTCTCAGCCTACCTCTTCTAACCAGGGCACCTTGGCAAATGTCCTCACCATCTTGCGTTATTGTTTCTTCTGCAAGTAAGTCACCTCAGATACTGATGTCCTTCTATACCTCATCACACGTGAGTCCAGGTTAAAGCTACTCATGGATTTCCCAGTGCAACCCACATTTTGGATATGACTGTTTAACTACACCTCACTCAGTCTTTTAGGCTAGTTCCTACCTGCTGGTCTTACATGTAAGGGTCTATAATAATACTGTTCATTATGCTATTTTGATACTGCTAGTAGTCATGTTCAATCATGGCAATTAACTATCACAATGACCATAAGTACACATTAGGTATCATTTCCACTCTGTAAATGTGAAGATGGAGTAAGAAAAATTAGTCTAGTTAGCAAGAATAGCAATGGGATTGATTCCCTGTGAGTCTGTAGAGGTCACACTGGCAGCTGCCTTAGGTTGGGCTAATGTCATCAGCATGCTCTCATCTCATTCTAGAAGACGTATTCTGATTTTTCAAAACTGCCTTCTATTTAACCATCACACCAAATGCCTGGCCCTGCAGTCCCTTTTTTGGTGGAGTATCAGGTTAGGTACTAAAAAGCAACCTTTTATAATTGCAATTACTAATTTATTCAAACTAAGTATTTATAAATATATAATGCTACTTTATTAAGGCTTTTACTTATAATCATATTCTTTATCTGCCTTTCAGAAGTAGACTATTGCTATCTATCTACATGTTAAATATGCTAATAAAAATTTCTTAAAAATATTTCTGCTAATAATAAACCTTCAAATTTTAGCTGTCCAAAATTCTTTTAAATGGAGTTCCTTGCAAATGGCTTACCCCGTTTCCTAAGCTTGAAGCTGGATTAGACTGTACCCTTTTCCAACTCTTTCAGCAGGGTGTCTGGTCTGGTATTAAGCTACTGATTGTTCTAAGTCCCTTCATGACTGATGACCTCTCCTCAGTCCACAGTCTTATCCACTGCTGATAATCAGGGACTCCCAAATTCTCAATGCTATGTCCTCCCTGGGCATAGCACTGCCTGTAGCTGTCCTTTAACTTCTCAATTATAAGTGCATCACACATTTAATGAGCTCATTGTCCACCAGGCATGGCACATGAATAGTAAAGAGATAATAAGTTTAGGGACTCTAGACAAAGCTTTTGAAGGGAAGATGACACTTTATAATCTATTAAATAGGAGCCAGGAATACAAAATTATCACCTGTGAAAATAGAACATCCCAGAAACAAAATGATTTCTGAGGATTGAAGGGTAGTCAGTAGCTTCAGCTGACAGGTCAGGACAAGTAAGCAATGGTACTGGCAGCTGCCTTCCTCCCGGCCCCACCTCCATGTGACAGGAGTTCTGTAAAAGGAGTATTCCGAGTCTCCTGCTGCACCCCAGTCTGCCCCTGCCATACACTATATTAGGACAAGTGTGGGGCAACTATTTTATTGCTAAGGGTCATTTGCGTATTTCTAACATCATTTGTGGGTCAAAGTTACCAACTTAAATATCGGTCTTCTATAAATCTATGTAACGTCTAGGCTTCATATGGCCTGTGGGATGGACATTTCCTATACCTAATTTAGGAGGGGCTGAATGTCATGACTTAGATGGGGCAGTGTTCCTACAGGAAGAACACACTATGCTCTATGTTCCTAAAGGGCAGGTCCCTGAGCAGCTTGCAGGGATGTGGCTGTACTTGTTCTGGAGTACTCAGACCTCACATTTAGGGATAAAACAATGTGCTCAACTTCCCACAAGCCTAAGCTATGTTCACCCTAATTTCTCTCAGTGGAGAGCTCAGTGATAAAGCTGACATTTTCATCTCTTTGACTCCTGTGAATCCCTCCTTTAGCACCTCTGTGAGGAAGAAGAGGGTTTACCAAATTCATAGAGGCCAGGTTTTTTTTTTTTGAATGTGGAACCCAATCCTACAGAGGAGCCCAGAAGTCTCCAGCACAGAACTATCTTCATTTTTCCTGTCTGGGGAATACAGCTCTTGGAACACAGCCCTAGAGAGAGAAAGGGGGCAGGTGGACCAGCCAGGGGATGAGGAAGGCTGAAGTCAGGGCTGTAAGGATGAGAGGGAGGCACAGGTACACGGGTACTTCTAAAAGTGAAAAAGTCAAAAAGGTAAGTTTTGGTGCAAAATTCTTGCAAATCCATCCTTAATTTTTTTCATAACACATCCTTTTCATCAACTTTTTGAAGACCCTTTGATATGGCCCAAGGAAGAGTTGAAAAGATTATATAATTCAGTAAGCACTGAACAGCCTGTACTCAATCAGAAAACCCAACTGTGGGCATGTGACCAGTTGGTGAAGATGCCTACATTCCATATCGAAGTTGTCAGCTGTTGATGTCTAATTCTGGCTTCTGACAAGCACCTATTGGTGCTGACACCTGGGGAGGCAGTGGTGATGGATCAAATTGTTGGGTTTCTGCAACTCACATGGGAGTCCTGGATTAATTGATGGTCGAGCCACTACTGGCACTTTGGGAGTAAACTGAAAGATGGCAACTCTTTTTCTCTTTAAAATCAGTCAATTTTAGCAGGGGGACTCCATATACCTGCTGTACCTGACACTCAGATGGCTTTGAAATCCTTTGAAGTACTCACCTTACTGTCAAAGAGTGAAAGGGGCTTGACCGTCTTCAGAGTAAATCTCATGACTGCATACAGGATGGAGCAGAGGATGGAGTGGTGCTCCACCAGGGGGTAGTGGATGTGCTTCTGTTCGAGGGCCAGTTCCACTATCGAAATGGGCCCTTCCACAGAAAGCCAGGCATCTTCGGTTTCCAGCACAGGCACTTGCATTTCATCCCTGTTAACATCTGCCTAAATGTTTCGAGAATGAAACGGGCACATTCATAATTGGAGATAGCAAGATCTCGCAAATACCCTAATGAAGAATTATCAGCAGTGAAGTGCAAATCCATTATTTCACACACCTCCCAGATTACAATTAAAAGAAGTTTTAATATTAAAATTTATTATTTAGGCTGAAATCAAGACAGGGGATGAATAAAAAAATAATCTTGTCATAAAAATTGTTTCTTAAATTCAGTGATATTCAGAGTAATATTTCAGGAACTGACTAGAATAGAAATACACCTCTTTTACCTCCAGTAAAGTCTGAAGAAGATCCAAGCAGGAGCCAAGGAAAGATGTCACTGCTGTGTCACTCATCCCCACATCCTGTTTTTTTTAAAAAAGAACATAATTAGCCTCTGCAGGGCGACTGCTACTTCCCATCAGAGAAATAACAGAAGGCAACACATAGCTGTTCAACTGATTCCCTACCCTGAACAGATTTTAAAATTAAGCTTTAACATAAGTTGCTTCCTTAAGGTGGTTTAGAGATAACCAAATTATTATCAGGTTTAAAAAACGTGATACCACTGTCAGTTAAAAGTCACTGTGCTTGGTGTACTCCTGTGTGCACCATGCAGCATGTGGTGGGAGGACAGTGAAGCGGATTTGTGAGAGAAAATCATCACAGGAGACAGTCATTCACACCTGAGCATCCCACTGGCAGAGTTCTCAGCACCCTTGTCTGGTTCAGCACATCATTTAAGGACCGAACTGAATTCTCTGAACAGAACCAGGTTTCTCCAGCTTGAGAAACAAATACTGGACTCATGCCGTTTGCCATAGAAGGTTCCTTAGAAGGCCTAACCACAGGGCCACTGTATTTGTGTAGTCTTTTATTAAACCTACAATCAATATATTCCAAACATTCCCACAGTAAATAATTCAGAGTGCATGTGTGCACACATATACAACTGTAAACACAACATAGCTCTGAAGAACACACAAGATTTCTACAACAGTGTTGATTTTTGTGGGGACTGTGGGCCTGAATTAGCTAGAATCCCATGTTCCAACATTTCTGAAGATATTTGTAGCAAGAACATTCCAAAATTCTAAGCAAAACTACCACTGTATATCAATATCTGAAGTATAAGCCTAGTATACAGTATATGGGCAGCATAATTTGGCTGATATTATATTTGTGCAATAATGATTACAAATAGGTAGATCAAATTTATGACATTGGGTCCTTCTACTACAAATTTTTAATCTGAACTACAATAAAAATATATAGCAATGGCAGCATGTTACCACAGTCCAGAGTTGAGCACATGAAAATTTAGGTTAAACATGCTGATAATATAAAAAGGTAAATTAAAACTGCACTTAGTTCACCACCAATTTCCTTAACAAATCATTCTCTTATCTCCTAATGTGTCATCAAGTGGTAATGGACAAAGTCCCTGCACACAGTTAATAAGGGACTATAGAAAATGTAGGATTAACAACTTTACTGCCAGCTAAATGGGGATTCACTTACCCTTCGGCATAACCTATCCTTTGGGGATTTTCCAACCTAAGGCAAAAGGACACAATGTTGTAATATCTGGTAGTTTAAATAAGAAGGTTTTACTATCAGAAAGTAAAAAGTAACCAAATTATGAAACTTCAAATGTGGCAAGCTTTTATCTTTGGTTCTACCAATAGTAGATGCAATTAATTTTGTGGTATAACTTGAAAAATATATCTTACTAAGCTCACACATAATCTGGCTAACATGAACTGTAATGCCATAAAGCCCAGAGCCAGACTGAAGGCTGAAGACCACCTACAAATTCTCACTCTTAAGATGCATCCAATTTCACAAGGTTAGCAAGAAGGAAAAATAAAGCAGATAAGAGTTATATCTCAGATTTCTTCGATTCAGTATCTATGAAGATTTTATTGCACTTGTCTGCCTGATAATAAGTGAGTGGTAAAAGTTCTGCTTTCAGGCCTAATACTAAGGCAGCAAGAAATTTACAGGAGACTTTTTGCTTCTCATATCTGGCTGAGATTGCTCCAGTGGCCTAGAGATACCAAATCTGAGCATATAATTCCACTGATTAAAATTGCTCCCAAAATGGCTGCAATGGTCAGGGATAGGCCAAAGCCAAACCAGGAGTCAGCAGCTCCCTCTGAACCTCCTATCTGGGTGACAGGGACCCAAGCACTTGGGTCACCTTCTGCTTCAGATGGATTAGCAAGGAGCTGGATCAGAAATGGAGCAACGGAAACTTGAACTAGCATTAAAATGAATCAGAAACCCAGCATCACAGGCAGGTACTTAATGTGCTGTACCACAATGCTCCCCCCCCCGCCCAACCTTTAGACTATTGCTTTAATTTGTGCAGAGAAAGAAGAAGTTAGTACATGAAATTTAAGATTACCTTATCCATCAAGTATGCAGCAGCAGAAAACCTTTTAACTAAGAACGTGTTCCACATCATCAGTGCGATGCCTGAACAGGAAAAGTAAAGTGGTGAACAGAATGTAACAGTAAGCAGTATCACATTCATCACACTATCTTCTTTATGTTATATATGGGACATTTAGGTGTCATATTTTTTATCTTACGTAATAAAGTTAATGGGAATCTCTATCTTTAATAGAAGTCAGAACTGGGCTGAATCAGAATCTGTGGAAACAGCCAATATGCATAATGCAAGGTTTACATGAAGGTAAAGAAATTAGCTGCTCTAGAATATACACAGACAAGAGAGTGTGATACCCCTTCTTACCAGCCCAACACCTAGTCTCACCCGTTACTGACGGCTAACTAGCTTAATGTTGATCTCAATTCTTACTACTATTAAGTAGAACAGGTTGTTTTTAAGTTCTGTATAATAATTGGTAACATTTTGTCAAGGGACTTTCAGCAGTCCTTATGGTACAGTAGCCAGCAGAGAACATATGAATTAAATACACAGATGGTTTTTTAGGATCCAGTCTTACGTTTTTGACTAACTACCTTCTTATTCAGAATTACGGCTTGAGAAGCTCATCCCTCCTTTTTTCTCTACCTGTGAACTGAAGAGGGCATCAATGATTCTTGCACAGTAGTTCCTTTGCTTACTCCTGGGAATAACTGTTAGCCAGAGGACAGAGATGATGGGATCTACCAGCTCCCTGACTTCTTTCTGGATAGCAGTTTTCCAGGTAACTGAAACAGCTATTACTTAGCATATAGCAACCCACAGGAAACTCATATGTAAGTGACAGGCGATCAATTAAAAAACTTTTCCCTATTTGTTCATCAGGATGCCTCTTTAGAACTAATCAACGATATATTTAATGTCTGTCTACTTACCATTCTGAACAGGTGCGTTAACAATGTGCTTCAAGTGTTCTATTGACCTAACAAGAAAACGTGCTTCCTTACATCCAGAGGGAAAAAAGGAAGGGAAAAATAAAAATTATTTACTAGTTTCATTTACTGGGTGTTTATATATCAAAGAAGACGTGATACATTAATTTCTGCTGAAAGTTAATGAAGAATGTTGCAATAAGAATGTGGAAAATATTAGATAAGTAACATCTGGTAAGAATTGTCCAAGTTCACATTATGCATATAATGATTACTTTCTGAAAAGTAAGAATTTTCATATCCTGGATTAACTCATAAGTTCATTGTGATTTGTATGTCATAGCAGTGTTCTGCCTAATAAATTGGTTCAACAGACATGAATGTAATGAACTTACTTTTATAGATACAATTCATTCATTTTTTCACTCTGCATATTTACTGGGCTTCCACTAAGCACCTGGCTATGCTGTGGCAATACTATATTGAACAAAGCACATCCAATCCTTGATTTTACAGAGCTTATATTCCAGCAAGGAAGAGAGAAAATAAATGGCAAATCAGTTACACATTATGGTAGTGGAAAGCACGAGGAGCAAGAAGCAGAGGAGGAAATGTAAAATATTAGATGGAATACCTGAAATTTAGCTCTTTCTAACTGAGGAAATGCACATACAAAATGCCAAATGTTAGCATGTAATGCTGATGAAAAAATCCAGGTCTTTGCTAAAGAATTCTGTAATCTGTACACATAACACATCACCATTCACAATACATATTGATGTTGGAAATTCTCCAAGGAAAATTTCAACAGTGTTGAGCCTAATAAAGCAGTGTGTGTGAAGATCTCAAATTAGCATTGGATGGAGCAAAGAGATGCTCCATCTTATACTCAACCAAGCAAAAAGCAGTCATTTATTTTCAGTGAAGGTAATTCTCCAATGCTCAATGGTGACAACAGTCAAAATGTTGAGTGTTACACATGCATTTTCTCTATGAGCTTCTGTAACTTTGGAAGATAACTGGTGTTATACTGCCCATATTAGGAGAAAACTGACACAAAAGGTTGAGAATCATTCCCAAAGGTCACATTCTCTGTGTGCTATCACTTACTGGCTACTGTATAAACAATGGCAGTGGGACCTGACGCCAGTTCTGTGTTCACTATGCAAGCTACCATTCTTTATTGATGAATACTATAGCATTTTCTTCTGAAATGTTGTGCATTTAACTTGAATTCATTCCTATTTTACAAATTATGTCATTCTAGTTCTAACATTTCTTCTCATGGGATGGAAAAAATATTCAAGGGAGTTCAAAAACAACTACAGTTGTGGCTGTAGTCCACTGAAGAGTTTGGTTTGAGGAACACTGAGGGGATCCTCTGCCCTAAACTCGTATTTTGACCAAAGTATATTTTAATTGACCAAAGACTATTTTTAATTGATCAAAGACTATTTTCTGACTTAAATCACTTGCTTTGTAGTGTTTCCCTTTAATATGTATATGAATTATTGTAGGAAGGAAGAATGTCAGTAAAGTTCATATATATGTATATATGTGTATATAAATGAGAATTGGTCTATTTGTGAAATTTTTCTTTTTGCAAGAATGCAACCTGATATAAGGACAAAGAATTCTGCTTTGAGAAGAATAATTTACTCAAATACTAAGAAGGCGCAGTTAAGGATGTATTTGTAGAGTGGAATATTCACCATATAATTTACATCTATTTTTTCCTGGCATCAACCCTGAAATACTGGCTGGCATCTTCATTACAAAAGAGAAGGTATGTGGAAACAGAGATTCAGTCAGCCCTTCACCAGGGATCCAGATCTAAGACTGGAATTTCTCCAGGGCCTGGGGAGAAATGGTGGCTATTAGTAGAAACAGTGCCTGACAAAGTTCAACCCTGCACACAACACAGCTCTTGTGATTGTTCTTCCAAGACAAGTGTAAGAAAGCAACAAGTCAATGCACATCTGGACAGTTGGACACTAGGCTAACATCTGGACAATCGGACACTAGGTTAACATTGGGATCTTAGCTTTCATCGTAATGACTATGATATTAACAGCAGCTTATAGGAACCATCTCATGAGGAAATTAGAAAATAATGGGGGAAAACTTACCCTATTTAACCAGTAATACAAAACATACTGCAAGGCAGAACCTATTCTTAAATCCTTGCATTTATTTGGCACTATGTCGTAAAACAAGGAAATTAACTTTTTTGAGTTAGTTTTTTCTTTTCCAGGGTAGAGTTATTGATAATAGGTATACTTCGTGGATTCTTGTGAGGATTATTAAGAAGAATGATATGAAAAAGATCTACCAGATTCACTGCAACAAGGGAAAAGGTCAGTGTTGGTCAAGTTAGTAAGTCCTCCTCCCACAGCCACATCCTGAGCACAGAAGCAGAATTAGCCCAGAGGGAATACTGAGAATCTTACCTCTGGATCTTTGTTCCACTGAACAACATACTCCCAGCAGCAATGGGCATGTAGCACATCCAGCTCAAGGCTGCAAGGAAACTGCTCATAGGCTAAACGCAGCAGGTCTGAAAGTCAGGAGAGCGATGACGTTACTCTCCCTGAGGAAGCCTCAGCCCCATCTCCCAGCTCTGCATTTCAGATTTCTCGTTATGTGTGTATCACCTGGTATGGCTCCTAAGTCCATCTCCACCTCTGACACCTCAAGGAAACCTCTGTTAAAGCCTTCTTTGGGTTCATCTGGATTTTCCACATCTTTTTCTTTAGAAGCCAGTTTTAATACTTCAGGGCTGAAGTCCTGTTTAAATATCCACTTGGCCACACTGTCTGCAATGCCCCCTAGAGTTGGAGACAAGAAAGAAAATGGAAATTTACAACACATAAGAAACAAGGTCCTCAAAGGGAGCCAAAAAAGTGTCTGAGCTTTTCTTCCTCGTGACTTCACACTGTCACTCAGGTCTGAGCCTGAAAATGATCCCTTAAAGCAACAAGATTAACAGTAATATTACTATCCATCTCTAATCCTCAGAGCTATTTGCTATCTCAGGAACTTTTTATTTTCAGAAAATATTAGTACATATAAATATATATGCATACAAGTCTGGATACCATATTTTGCATGTCTACACTTTAAAATTCACTTTGACCAACACAGAAAAATGAAAATTTCTGTAAAACAATTTAAATTACAAATGAAAGACATCCAAGACAGGAGACTAAATCAGTAATGAAGATCATCCCAATAACAAAGCCCATGACTGGATGGCTTCACTGCGAAGTCTACCAAACTTTTTTTTTTAAAGATTTATTTTAATTTGAAAGGCAGATCGAGAGAAGAGAGACAGAGAGATCTTCTACCCACTGGTTCAGTCCCCAAACAGCCACAATGGCTGAAGCTAAGCCAATCTGAAGCCAGGAGCCAAGAGCTTCTTGTGGGTCTCCCAGGTGCGTCCCAAGGTCTTTGCCTGTCCACCACCACTTTCACAGGTCACAAGCAAGGAGCTGAATAGGAAGTGGAACAGCTGGAATGTGAATTGGTGCTCATAAGAGATTCCAGTGCTTATAGGGAGAAGATGGATTTGTTGAGCCACTGTACTAACCCCAATTCTACCAAGCTTTTAAAGAACTAATTCCAATTCTCAAACTATTCAAAACAACCGAAAGAGAGGAATCCTCCCAAACTTTCTATGAGGTCAGCATCACTAAAACCAGAAAAAGATATAACACAGAGAACTACAGAGCAGCATCCCCAATGAATACAGATGCAGAAATCCTCAACAAAATACTAGGTAATCAAATCCAACAGCATATCAAAAAGATCATTCACCCAAAGTAGGATTTATTGCTGGTATGCAGGGATGGCTCAAAGTGCACTAATCAATAAATGTAATGTATCACATCAATAAATTGAAGAAAAAAGTCATTTAATTACCTTTATGGATGCAAAGCATTTGATAAAATACAATATTCCTTCATGATAAAAATCTTAAGCAAACTGGATTAGAAGGAACAATGCTCAACATAATCAAGGCTATACATGAGAAACCCAATACCAGCATTAAATTAAATGGGGAAACATTTGAAAATCTCCATTCAGAGCAAGAATGCCCACCTGCCTTGCGGCGTGGCCTAGTGGCTAAAGTCCTTGCCTTGAACAGGCAGGGATCCCATATGGTCGCCGGTTCTAATCCTAGCAGCCCCGCTTCCCATCTGGCTCCCTGCTTGTGGCCTGGGAAGGCAGTCGAGGACAGCCCAAAACCTTGGGACCCTGCACCCACATGGGAGACCTGGAGGAGGTTCCTGCTTCCCGGCTTCGGATCGGTGCAGCACTGGCCATTGTGCTTACTTGGGGAGTGAATTATCGGACAGAAGATCTTCCTGTCTCTCCTCCTCTCTGTATATCTGGCTTTGTAATAAAAATAAATAAATCTTAAAAAAAAAAAAAAGAATGCCCACCTAACAACATTTCTATTTAATATAGCTCTAGAGCTTAAACCAGAGCCAGTAGCCAAGAAAAAGATATCAAAGGAACACAAGTAAATAAAGGAGGAAGTCAAATTATCACTGTTTGCAGATGACACCATCTTAGGGAAACCAAAATGACTCCACACTTAACAGACTAATGGAACTCATAAGGGAATCTGATGTGTCAGAATATAAAATAAACACACAAGAATCAATAGCTTTTATATATAAGGACAAAAACATGGTTGAAAAAGAAAATTTATAAGACTAGTAATATTCACAACAGCTACAAAGAATTTAAATACTTTGGGATAAATTTATTCAAGGATATAAAAGATATCTACAATGAAAACTGCAATATACATACATATATATATATATACATATATATGCAGTCAAAATAGAAATTACTTTTTTTGAAAGACAGATAGGTAGAGAGAACATGAGAAAGGCAGAAAGAGATCTTTCATCCACTGGTTCATTCCCTGTAATAGCCAGGACAAGGCCAGGGAAAAGCCCAGAGCATGAAATTCAATCTAAGCTCCTACATGGCTGGCAGTGACCCACGTATTTGAGCCATCACCTGCTGTTTCCCAGAGGCTGCGTGAGCAGCAAACCAGAACCAGTAGAGTCAGTTTTTGAATCCAAGCATTCAGAAATGGGATGCATATGTCCTAGGTAATATCTTAGCAGTATCCCAAATGTGCAACTTCTTATATGGTAAGAAGATTAAAATTCTGAAAATCTAGTTAATATCTGTCTTCTATCTTAATTTTCCTCCAATCAGTGATCTGCTATGGCCAGAATTGATGAGGAAAACTTGGCCTGCTACAGCTGGCAAAGGGAGGACTCCTGAGGTCCTCTAACATACTTTAAGAATCTCTGCTGGGCCCGGCGCAGTGGCGCAGTGGTTAAAGTCCTCGCCTTGCACGCCCAGGATCCCATATGGGCGCCGGTTCTATCCCCGGTGGCCCCACTTCCCTTCCAGCTCCCTGCCTGTGGCCCGGGAAGGCAGTCGAGGACGGCCCAAAGCTTTGGGACCCTGCACCCGCGTGGGAGACCCGGAAGAGGCTCCTGGCTTCTGATCGGCATAGCATCGGCTGTTGCGCTCACTTGGGGAGTGAATCATTGGACGGAAGATCTTCCTCTCTGTCTCTCCTCTCTGTATATCCGCCTTTCCAATGAAAAAAAATAATAAAAATAAATCTTTAACAAAAAAAAAAAAAAAAGAATATCTGATGGGCCCGGCACAGTGGCGCAAGTGGTTAAGGTCTTCACCTTGCACGCCCGGGATCCCATATGGGCACCGGTTCTATCCCAGCAGCCCCGCTTCCCTTCCAGCTCCCTGCCTGTGGCCTGGGAAAGCAGTCGAGGACAGCCCAAAGCTTTGGGACCCTGCACCCGCGTAGGAGACCCGGAAGAGGCTACTGGCTTTGGATTGGCATAGCATTGGCCGTTGCGCTCACTTGGGGAGTGAATCATCAGACGGAAGATCTTCCTCTCTGTATATCTGCCTTTCCAATAAACAAAATAATAGAAATAAATCTTTAAAAAAAAAAAAAAGAGTATCTGCTTATGCAGCAAGGCAGCTGGCAGTACCTAGGGCTTCCTGAACAGGAAATGGACAAAATCAGACTTGGAGAAAACAGAGAGGATTATTTTATTTTTAAAATCCAAATATACAGCCTATTCCCCATTCATTCAAGTCATTTCACTTCAAAACATAAACCTGCAGATGCAGATGCTCAAATACAACGTGGCTTACCTTTTCCTCCTTCTAGTAATTTCTTCACAGAAAGCCTTGGAAGTGGCTCGGCCTGCAGTGCTGATGTTTTGGAGGCCACAGGGCTCCCTCTGCTGTGAAGCAACGTCTGGAGGATGAGACAGTCCTCCAGCTGTTTCAGCAGGAGCTTCCAGTACTCGGTGTCAAGGGAAAGGGCCTCCCAGGAATCAGTGAGGGCCTCCGAATCAGAACCCAAGGCTGTTTGGGAAAACTAAGACAAAACACACCGGTGAATCTCGGGAAGCCTCTGGACAGTAAGGAGATATCAAAAAGCAACAACGCACAGGAACTATTTGACAAAGACTATTACTAGCCTGGAGGAAACGTGAGGGTTTGCAGGAGCCTGGTGGCTCAGGAGTAAGGATGATGGAGTGAGACATTTATAGGAAGCCCCGCAGTAATGGCCTCCATAGCACCAGGGCACATTTCAGAGTCTTCTGCCTCACCATGACAAGTGCCTCAGCTTTTTCTATGGATACGAGTCAGGATACTGACATTTCCTCAGAATATACTTGCCAACATGAAAAATGTAACTGAAGTCTCCCTTCTATTACTCCATGTATTAAGCTGGTGTTATTAAATGTAGCCTACAATTACTGAGATGGGAAATGTTTTTTTTTTTTTAAAGATTTATTTTTATTATTTTGTTATTGGAAAGGCGGATATACAGAGAGGAGAGACAGAGAGGAAGATCTTCCGTCCAATGATTCACTCCCCAAGTGAGCGCAACAGGTCGATACTACGCCGATCCGAAGCCAGGAGCCTCTTCCGGGTCTCCCACGCGGGTGCAGGTTCCCAAAGCTTTGGGCCGTCCTCGACTGCTTTCCCAGGCCACAGGCAGGGAGCTGGAAGGGAAGTGGGGCTGCCAGGATTAGAACCGGCGCCCATATGGGATCCCGGGCGTGCAAGGCGAGGACCTTTAACCTCTTGTGCCACCGCGCCGGGCCCTGAGATGGGAAATGTTAAGTGAGTCATTCCCATGGAGGTGTCTCATTAACTTAAAGCAGCATCTTGCCAGAAAAAAAAAAAAATATTTGATTCACCCAAGATACCAGGATTGTTAGCCTTTTTCTAATAAAAATTTGCATACCCAGGAGATGAGAAAAGCTACAAGGCAGCTATCACTACACAACATCACAGCCAGGCCCAGAGTGGTAACCTAGTGGCTGAAGTCCTTGACTTGCATGCACTGGGATCCCATATGGGCGCTGGTTCTAATCCTGGCAGCTCTACTTCCCATCCAGCTCCCTGCTTGTGGCCTGGGAAAGCAGCTGAGGACGGCCCAAAGCCTTGGGACCTTGTGCTCATGCAGGAGACCCGGAAGTAGCTCCTGGCTCTGGATCAGCTCAGTTCTGGCCATTGTGGCCACCTGGGAATTGAATTAGCAGACACAAGTTAGCTGACTGAAGATCTTCCCCTCTGTCTCTTTTCTTTGTATATCTGACTTTCCAATAAAAAACCAAAAAATTACAACCACTCAATGCTAGGGGAAAAATAATCATGGAGCTTTAGAACCAGAGAAAACCTGAATAACAACAGACTTACCTCAATCTCTTTTATTTATTTATAAATAAAGATTTCTTTTTGTTTGAAAGGCAGATTTATAGAGAAAAGGATAGACAGAGAGAAACAGCCAGAGCTGAGCCGATTTGAAGCTAGGAGCCTCTTCTGGGTTTCCCATGCAGGTGCAGGCTCCAAAGGCTTTGAGCTGTCCTCTACTGCCTTTCCAGGCCACAACAGGGAGCTGGGACACTAAGTGGTGCCCATTCGGGATCCTGGTACATGCAATGTGGGGATCTAGCCACTAGGTCATGGTGCTGGGCCCACCTCAATCTCTTGTAGATGAGGAATCCAGTCAGTGACTCACTTTATAGGGGCTCGTCATGGGTCCCCAGCTCCTGGCAGAAAGTCAGTTCTTTGGCACCTTCAGCCACTTTTTCTGCAAGCCAGGGGCCACAGGTGTAGCCAAGCACGCACAGCACGTGAGCAGACAAGTTAGTGGTAGCTCCTTTCTTGCCTCTTCCCAGGCAAACAGCTGACTGGACATATATATGAAATTCTAGATGTTTCATGATAATGAAGATGATGTGCTTTCAGAACAGTAAAGAGTGGCTCTACTCACTGCATACAGATCTAAGCCGCACCTTCCCTCACTTACTCTTTTTTCTGCCATACTGTTTGATATCTGTGCAGCAACAGAATGCCCAACGTGTGCAGATAACAGAGCAGCTCCGTTGTTCTCAGACTGAATACAGGCCATGCGCATCTGCTGCCACCAAGGGGACACAGACTGGGAATCCCATGTCTCATCAATGGCCACTGCAGGGGGAGGGAGAAAATTCCAAAAAACTCTTACCTGGCTGATTTTTTTTTTTTTGGCCGAATCTTTCATGTTAAAAATGCTAGCCCTATGTTTCTGAATGAACTGGAAAATAGCTATCTTATTCAGAACATTTACATCCCATTTATTTATGCTCTGTCATCCTGCCTCTGAGTCAGTATTAAAACCCTACCTGGAATATTTTCATTATTATTGAAAAGCATAACTGACTACATCAAAACACATTCTGATAATCAGATCAAAAATAGGAAAAATATTACCTCCCCAGAAACCATTCAATTCACCTTACAAAAACGCATTGTTAATTTCACAAAACATAAGTTTAATAACAAAGAGCATAAATGTATAATTGTCTTAATTAAAGTGTACTTCAAATACACTAAGAGCTTAATCAAATCATGAACAAATACCCAGGGGAAAATGTTTTTACACTAGGGTCTCCTGTTGTTCAGACTAACTAACTGCCCTACCTCCTCTTCCTGTGGTATCTGTGTTTTCAAGAGCAGCAACCCAGATCCCGAGACTGCCCGGCAATCACACCCCAGTGTCCTACCTTTCATTTTGCTCAGGAGGGACAGCATTGTGTGAAGACAGCAGACAGACTGTGGTTTATCTAAAATATCTTTTTCCTTAGAAAGCCAAACACTCAGGAGCAGAGACTGAAATAAAATTAAAGCTCTGTAAGTCTACAGGCATATCTAACACTGACAAAATGTTGCACTTTTCTAGAAAATTCAGGTACACATACAGACAGTGCAACTTTCTGGGCTGGAAAATAAGTGGTTATTGTTACGTCAAATAATGTGTGGGACAAAACAAGAGAATGTTATCTGTGGAACATCTGATTTTCACTGTTCATACCTCTTCTTCTGCACATGTGTGTGTATGCTTAAAGGAAAGCACATATTTAAAAAAGTGTTTATTTAATGTTTTATTTGACAGCCAGAGAGAGAGAGATGGAAGGGTTGGGTACAGGAAAGGAAAAGAGAGCGAGCGAGCAACCATTAACTGATTCACTCCCACAAGCTGTTGCTCCCCAATAGCCAGGAATGGGAAGGAGGTGGAGCTGGAGATCAGGACTCCAACTAGCTGAGTCACCTGCTTCCTCCCAGGGTGAGTATTGGCAGGAAGGTGACCTGGGGCTCCAACTAAGCCCTCTTGAAGGGTAGTGAGTGTCCTAAGCGGTAACTTAACCTCTATATCACACTCCCACTCCTCATCTCTTAACGTAAGCAATTTTTGAATTCTACCTTCTCCCAATGTTACCAGAAGGGTAATAAGTTACTCTGTAAGCATGGATTCTCTGCAGATTGGTAAGGGGCCAGCCAGTGGGCTGCAGGCTGGATGGGAGAGAAAAGGATGTGGCACTTGGATCATTCCCTGGCCTTGCACTGCCTTTCAAATGAAATAAACACATAATTTTTAAATGCATAGGGAACAAAAAATATTCTACTAAGTATGATGATTACAAGTTTCTTTGATCATTTTTTAAAGGTTCTCTTGTACATTCTATGACATCCCAAAAGAACAGCATCTAGCAATAAAACCTTACCAGTAACAGCTGAGGGCTAAGTCCCGCAGACTCCAAAGTGTGACACATTTCCTCAGTTGAGCTTTCTCCATGTAAACACTTCCAAAAAAAGAAACTTCCTAGTAGTACAAAAATAAAACACATTAGTCAATGATTACTTACCACTGGGACTAATAATCTTTTCCTACATTGCAATCTAGACCTCCAGAGGAATAAAACATCATGAGACGACAAAATAAGGGCCTGATTTACTTAGACAGCAATCATTTCATGTCTAACGTTATATCCTCAATGTATTTATTAATATGATACATCCTGTATGACGCTGCATCAGGATTACCTTGTGTTGAACAAACAATATACATTCAATTGTTTAGTTAATTTCAAAACAAAATGCATTTCTGAGCTGCTGAATTCTCCCATCAGGATTCCTTTGAGAAGAGGTAGGATTCAGAAGTGGTTTATTTTCACCTACCTAAAGCCACATATTCCTCCTCACTTATCTTCTTTACATTGAGCGTGTCTTTCTCATATTCTAAATATTCCAGGAATGTTTTTACAGGCAACACTCCATCCTCATCATCAGAAAACCGCAGAGTAGTCCTGGTATTCTCTTGCTTGTATTTCTCTAGCAATGTCTGCAGCTTAAGCAACTCCTTTTCATCCAACCTTAGCAACACAGCCAAGTCCTTAAAAACAGAAAAAAAAGTCTGCATCGACTGTCTTTCTTCACATTATCAACCTCGTGTACCAACTCCACTATCTGAATTGAAACTCAAGGCTGCAAGCAAAACTTGACTTTTTAAAATAATATAACAGCTATAATGCATTCTGCTTAGTGGGAGATTAAAGTGAACTAATCTCAAAACACTACATACTAAAAAGTATCATTTTAGGCCCTTCTTTAGTCCATTACTCTTGTAAAATGTTGGAAGTTTAAGACATTTTCAAGAAACATCATATTGTGTACTCTGAATAAAGACTACAATGGGTGTCTATTGCAGCTCCCATCATTGTAAGGAAAGTAAAGAACTACTTGAAATTAAAGTTTATTTACTAAACAAAGCATTACAAAAACTTCATAATAAAAACATAAGGATACAATTCCCACTACATCTACATCTATAAATATATGACTCTCAGGGATACCAAGACTGAAAAGTCACAGACAGAACCTGCCAGCCCCTCGAATTATTTTCCCACAACATTTATTCAGAAACATTTCTTGACACTACTATCACTTTTCTAAATTAGGGACATGTATACAAATGCACTTGCACACTCAAAGACCATACATTTTTCACAGCAAGCAAATCTTCCTTACCCATCAAGAACCTTAAGCTGCATTCTTAAACAAGTGTCGTTTATTTACTTTAGAATACTAATTTTTTAAACAAAAAGTAAACCACAAAATGCTATAAAACACATATCTATACTTCCATACACTAAACTTACATGCGACCTTTTATATATTATGTCCTTCAAATGGGAAAAATGACCTTTTTCAAATTTTAATTTTTTATGTACAAAATCAACCATTCAGCCTAGATCCAACAGCATGTTTTTGAAGCATCCGAATGGGTCTAGAGCAAAACAGGGTTTTAATTCTTAAAAAAAAAATTAATTTGCCAATTGATTATTAATTCCGTGATTCTTCCATATTGGAAGAAAATGCGAAGTGTAGAGGCAATCTTGTGGTCATCAGTTAATCAGCTTGGACTTTCTGGTTAGTTAAAATGATTTTACACTATTGCTTAGTAGACAGAAATCTGAAAGATCCTTAAAAAGCTGTGTGATCATTTATGATGGCTTGGGACTATCATGCACAGATGTATATCATCTCAAAAGTAAAAGAGAATATAGAGTGTGGGGGTTGTTTCCACTACAGAGAAAATCTTTGATTTTTTCTAAAATTTTTTATTCTTACATTTGTAAATTTAAAATTAAATGCTCCCAGCTTAATCCCTTCAAACATTCTAGATAATTAAAAATTATCAGTGACTTGACAAGTCATTAATTTCAAGTTGACATGAAGTCCTGAGGCCAAGGAAACTGCCCAGTGTCACATAGGAATTTGTGAAGAGAGGACTCTAATTGATCCTATTCCCACTAAGCAAAACTTCAGATCTCTGTAGGAAAGTCAAGAATGCTGGGCACGCTGCTGAGAAGCAAACAGCACTGCACTGCAAAGAGATTATAAGGAGCTGTCACTCTGTTTTGCAAATAGGTACTAACATTATGAAAATATATCTTACGATTATTTTTAATATTTTGGCATAAAAAGTATCTTAAACTATATTTTATTTCAGTATACAAATGAGGAAGCCATATGAATTTAATAACAGAAAAACTGGTGCTTTACATTTTGAAAGATCATTTGTTTTTCCTTAAAACACAGCATTGTTTAATCCAGTTTAGTACAAATTCTGTTTTAAAAAGTTGTTTTATGTTACCTTGAAGAAATAATTGAACAAAACCAAATGATTCAAGGGCAATAAAAATGGATTAACAAAATATAATGTTCTTGTGTAAATAAAAAAATCCAATAATAGCAAGGCACAAAGACTCAGCAGAGGAGTTTGTAAATAAAACGTACTAAACTTAAAAAATAACCTGTTTAGTTCTAACTTAAAAACTAAAAAAATGAAAACACATTTAATGTAAAACTAAGCTTTGGGGCACAGTGTGATGGCCTAGTGCCTTAAGTTCTAGCCATGCATGCGCTGGGATCCCATGTGGACTTTGGATTGTTCCACTTCCCTTCCAACTCTGCTTGTGGCTCAGGAAAGCAGTTGAGGACGGCCAAAAGCTTTGGGATCCTGCACCAGTAAGGGAGACCTGGAAGAGGCTCCTGGCTCCTGGCTCCGGATTGGCTCAGCTCTTGCCATTGTGGCTACTTGTGGGGGTAAACCAGTGGACAGGGGATCTTTCTCTCTGTGTCTCCTTCTCTTTGTAAATCTGCATTCCAGTAAAAACAAATCCTTGGAAAAAAAAAAAACACTAAACTTTGGGTTACTCACATTATCAGAGAATGGTGTGTCAGAATGAGAATCAAGGGAATTTAATTGATTGACAGATTCATAGAGATGCAGTAATTTCAGTTTATTGGCACAAAACTGTAGCAATCCTTCATCAACAGATTCAAGCTCTAAAAAGCAGAAGCAAAAATAATTAGGAATTAAAATGTAACGGACTGATAGCTAGGTTTCATTTCATTAAATCTCTTACTGTTATATTACTTTCTGATGTTTTGTTAAATATTGGGATGCCTGAAGTTATACCATATTTTCAAAACAAAGGTAATGTTTCCATTACAATAAAAATCTAACCTTTTAAATGAAATAAAATGCTCTAGTAGGAACAGGGAAAAAAGACAAGAAGACAAAAGAACTATTTTTGTCAAATATTCAAATTTCAAAGATTTGACCTGGGAACATCTTTGAAAATATTTTCCTTTAATCCAAACTCATCTGCTGTTCTTTATGCTCATATCAAGGACACCCAAATACAAAGCTGCCTGGTCTTACTCATTGTGGCTAAAGATAACACAACTTTGGCACTTGCATTGTAGTTCAGTGTGTTAAACCAACACTTGCAACAACATCATCAGTTGTGAACACTGGTTCAAGTGGTTCAAGTCTTGGCTGCTCTGCTTTCAGACTTCACTATCCTGTCAATATTCTTATAAAAGCAGCAGAAAATAACCTATGTCTTTTTTTTTGCTTCACAGCCTGTGGTGGAGACCCTATCTGTTCCAGGCTCTGGCTTCAGCCTGGCCCAGCCCTAACTACTGCAGCCACCTGGGGAATGAACCAGCAGATCAAAGCGCTCTCTCTTATTCTCTCTCTCTCTGCCTTTCAAATAAATAAATAAACCTTGGGGGAAAAAAAGCAGCCAATGAAAACTGCCCCATTTTTTTCTTTTCTTTTTTTTGGAAAGTGGAAAGGGACAGTGTAAGGATCATTAGAAGATTATATATTTAAAAACTGTGTATTTAAAAAACATGGCATTTTAAAAAATTCTATTTTATTTTTTCCTATTTATAACTTGAAAGGCAGAGCTACCAAGTGAAGAGTCATATTTAATTCACATTTTCATTCCCCAAATGCCTACAATAGCCAGGACTGAACCAGGCAAAACCAGCAGCTAGAACTCCATCCAGCCTAGAACTCTCACTTGGATGGCTGGGCACAGAGCCTGAGTCATCATTTGCAGCCTCTGAGGATGCATTAGCAGGTAGCTGGATTGGGAAGCAGAATAACCAGGATTTGAAACGGAATTCCCAGGTGGCAGCTTAACTTGCAGCAGAGGATGGCTCAAGTGCTGGGACTCTCGTACCCATGTGGGAAATCCAAATGAAACTTCTAGGTCCTGGCCTTGACGTACCCCAACCCCAGCCATCTGGGGAGTGAACCAGCAGATGGAAGATCTCTCTTCAATTTTCCCTTTTGAATAAACTTTTCTTTTAAAATAAGACACAATATATTCACCAACAGTATACATCAAGAATAAAAAGGTTTCCAAATACTCAAGGTATAAAATGCTTCCCATTCCTTACATGTTATTTCCATTTGAAAGTAATATCATAGCAGCCAGAATAATAAACAGCTTTTTATTACCAAAGTTACAGAATCTGATGCGAGACCATAACAACTTTTAATCAGTACAAGCCCTATTATCTTTCTGGTTTTTTTTTAATCTATTTGAAAAAGCAATTGCAGTTCAAGCTATAATTTGTCAACCACAGACTCAAATAATAAAGACTGTGAGCTGAGAAAGACAGGAATTAATAGAAAGTACACAACTTTAGGTAAAATATCTATTTTATGCATTTTGTACTGCCTAATGTATTTTTAAAATTTTTTATTTTTCATGATACATTTCTATTACCTTGGTTTTTCAAAGTGTCCATTAATGTCTGGGTGATGTTTCTAAGGCAAGAAAATGGTAATCGTTCACTTGCCAAAATGCTTTCCAAAGCCTAGAAAAAAGATAATGAGCAATTCTCATAATTTAGGCAATGTTTCTGAAATTTTACATTTATGTGTATATTTTCACTACACCAAATTGCAACAAGAATCTACACGTTTAAGATATCTTTATACATATATCTCAGAATTTAAATTGTATCCCAAGTGTCGTGTAATCCACCTCATGTCATGCCAAATATGGTATACTGACAAAAAGTCCAGACTAAGACAATAATTACTAGAAGGGAACTGGTACTTAACAGAATGGTTACATCTTAACATCTTCATTAATAACAAAAATCTGAATAAACCTATACTACACCTAGGTATAAAGCGAAAATAGAAGTTATTGCCCTATCAATAATACAAGCTCACAGTGATTTAGTTATAACTTAAATATTTCATTCGAGCATAAGTGGCTAAATCTATTGGCCATCCCAGGCATAGCACATGTGCTCCATACCACCATAACTACCTTTCCCGGTAGATATTTAAGAGCTTTCATCATCATTTCTGAAATATTTCCTCATTCCTAAAGTAGCAACCCTCAGCATCAAGGGATTAAAATGTATACAAAATTCATATTCATTCTTTCATATCAGCATATTCAACTGGGTTTCTAATAGACTGAGAATGTAGCATGAGACAAACATCAGATCACTACACAGTAACCTCTGTTTGTTTATGGGTGAGAAATGAGTTCCAAAGGTGTCTCACAATGTCACACTTAACACTGAGTCCTCCAAAGAAGCGGCCATAAGGGGAGAGAGCCCAGAACAAATATGCTCACAACTACACCAGGCTAGCATCTCGCTTACTTTCCTCCCATCATTCTGTCTCCCAAAGCCTAATGTGGGTCCCTCCCTTTCTTAGTCTTATAAAACAATAGATAATTATGTTGTTGTGTTTTGCAACTATCTATTTATTTTCATCTACTAGAAGTGCAGAGAGCAAAAAGCAAGAGAAACAGATCTTCTATCTACTAGTTACACCCTAAATCTCCTGAACAACCAGGGCTCAGCCAAGATGAAGCCAGGGGCAGGAACACCCACTCAGGTCAGCCAAGCAGTGTCAGGGGGCCAAGTACTGAGTGATCACTTGTTGCCTCACAGAATGGGCTAGCAGGAAACCTGATCAGAAAAATGCTGAATAGCCAGGACTCAAACCAGCATTTGGATGTGGGACTCAGGCATCCCAAACAGTGGCTTAACCATCGTGTCATAATACATGCCATCCAACATTTTTAAAATTCCTAACTCCATGCATGACTTGGTAGTACAGCAACAAAAAACAAACAAGGCTGTCTGTACTGTCCTAGCTTCTTGAGGGTTGTCAGGGCTGTGACTTTCTCTACTGCTGGCTCTACATGCCAACATTATCATCACGGGATCATCTGTAACAACTGAGACTCCGCCTTGGGGGAATGAGATACAACACTGCCAGCTGCACCAAAAAAGAAAAAAAAAAAAGAAGTCACTGAGACATCTGTGTTCCACAATAAATGCGTTTCTAACAATAACTACAACAGAAATGACAACATTCTCCCCTGTATGTTGGTATGCAATAATAAGAATATGTGTTGGTCTCTATCCCCAAAACGAGGCAAACAAGCTAGTCAAATCATTGTAATTTCCTGAGCAAAAGCAGTGCTAGCAGAGTCTGTCAGTTCCATCCCTTGAACTCTGTGTAGGGGAGAGGGGCCGAGCTGATCATCACTGGTGAAGATGTCATCAATCATGGCTGCATAATGCAGCCTCCGTGAATACTCCAAAGTACAGGATGGGGGTGAGCGTTCGGATTGTTGGACATATGGAAGTTCTTGGAGGGTGGCTCACCAAGAAGGGGCATGCATGCTCTGCATCCTTCCCCTTATTCCTTGTTCTAAGCCTCTCTTCCAGTTGGCTGTTCATCTGACTCCTCTGTGACATCCTTTACAACAATGGGAAAATATAAGTATAGTATTCTTCCAAATTCTGTGAGCCATTCTAGCAAATCAATTAAAACCGAGGAGGGTGTTGTTGAAGCCCCAATTCACAGCAGGTTAGTAGGAAGCCAGGTGTCTGAAGTGAAATCTTGTGGAACTGGGTCCCTAACCTCTGGGATCTAATAGCATTTCCTGGCAAAAAGAGTCAGAACTGAATGAAACTAGAGGACACTTAGAATCAGCTTAAGAATGTAACTGCTGTGCCTATTGGCAGGAGTGTTGGGTGATGTGCCAGGGAATTAGAAAAAATCATTGTGATTTTTTTTCCTCTTATATTCTCAGAAGCATTATTTTAGATGTTGTCAATTATAAGGAATTATTTAGTAAGGCTCCTACTTGAAAGTGTTTGAAAAAGTTGAAGAGGGAACAGTTGAGTAGCTATGACTAATATACATAAAATAACAGGAAACAAATATTTATCATCTATCTGGTTCTGGCGTAAAATAGAGTAGGAGTTAGGTGTTACCTATGGCGGTTGAAGTGACATGCAAGAATGTATGGAGTTAAGACATAGGAAGCATTAAGATAAGGGTGAATAAAAAAGTTACAGTAAAAGAAATCGCAATCAATTACCATGGGAATAGCTACAAAACTAAGGAAAGGTGACAAGCATGACAACACTATGGGATGCTGAGGCTATGGGGCTACAAGGGCTCTATTATAAAATACTAGAGGGAATATAAATCAGTACAACTAATACTAATTATTACTACTACTCCTAATAAAAACATCAGCTATTACGGCTATTCATCATCAGCTATTTGTCATCAGCTATTATAGCTAAAGAAGCTCACACCTTAGCAATTCTACTCTTAGGTATAAACTCAAAAGAAACTTGCAGAAGTATACTCTGAGATTGCTATAAGGACAAGCATAGCACCATTCTTTGTAATGGAGAAAAAGCTGGAAATCACCTTAATGTTCATTAACAAGAGAGTGGATAAATAGTTTCCAAGGCAAAATTGATATGGTATGCTAAATGAATCAATTACAGGTACAACTACAGCTACATAAATTAATAGAGTACATATAAATATGATACACACATGTATAAATGTAATATTGAAGGCAAAACTGAAGTCACAGAAGACATAGAAAACAACGCCATTTATAAAAAAGCTCAGAAAGACAGAAAATGCATCAGTATATTTCAAAGGAGCCACAAAGAAATGATGCAACTATCAGGAGAGAGAAACAATGCTCTGAACTGTGGCTCCCTTAGGGACAGGAGGAGGACATGAAACTGAGAAAGGCAGGCCCCTTTAGTCCTAGCCTGCAGTCTCTGAGATGGCTAGTCATACACATGTGTTTATCATTACTCTGTAATCCAAATAATGTTATATATAAATATGCTAGTCACAATAACAAACACTTTTAAAAAGAGAAAGACAACAGAAACATCCACATGGTAAAATAAGAATGGATAAGTAAGATTAAAACCATGAAGACTTTAATCTGTCATGTTTGGTGATAAATAGGAAAATAAAAAAAATTGAATTGTGGAGTACCAGGGTAATTCAAAAAGTGCATGGAAATGGAATTAAAAGATAAGTTTCTTTTGTTGTAAAACTTTTCAAAATCGTGAATATTTGTATAATAGCTATAAGTACAAAAACTCATTAAATACACTTACTTGTCTTTTGGTTGCAGGGTATTTAATATCAAGAATCAATTCCCTTATTTCTGTTTCAACTGAATCTATGAATACAAAATTAAAAGTTTTACATTTTAATATTATGGCAAAATATTCTAAAGTAAACTAACATTTGTATTATCTGTCAGTCCAAAGAATTGTGGGGTTTTCTTATATAATTGTTTTATGTTATAAATTTCAACATCTCTAAGATGGCATACTTTTTTCTTTCTTACATTGCACAATTCCAATAAAAAGTAAAAGTAATTACTTGTACATCTCATTTGAAAAGGAACTATTAAAGAGCTCATTGATGCATTCATATACACACTTAATATTTATTTATTTTAATTTACTTAAAAGGCAGAGTAACAGGTGCCTTTTAAGTAACAGGGGCAGGGGGAGCGGAGGATGAAAAAAGAATGAATGTGTGTAAGGAAGAGACAGAGGTATATTCCAAACACAAAGTCACTCTCCAAAAGCCTACTACAGCCAGAGCTGGTGCAGGACCAGGGCCTGGAACTCCAACCAAGCTTCACAAGTGGGTGGCAGAGGCCCAAGCACCTAAGAATCATCTGCTGCCTCGCAGGCTTCATTAGTAGAAAGCTAGATTGGAAGTGGAATGGCTGGGGCTCAACCCAGCTCTCCAATAATGTGTCTGACAGTGGTATTCCATAATGCCTGCCCCCATTTAAATATTGTGACTGATCTATTCAGAATATTTTATTGCTTTTAAGATGACAAGACAATATACTTAATTATTTTTACTTAAGGGATGCTTACCAAGATTGGGAGATTTCATTTTCAATAAAGTTGATAGTTTCTTCACTAAATGCATATCCTTGGCTCGCTCACTCTTCTTATCACTAAAACAATAAATGTAACATTTTTCACAGGATGTCAAATGCATTCATTCTAGCTAAAACTTACTCCCATTTCACCTTTATACGCTTCCCATTTAGCTTTAAAAGTAGCAGTCTAAAGACAAAAAAAGAACAAAATAGCTATAAAGCAAATCTCAGTTCCTAGAGACTAGAAAATGTTAGCAGAGGAACATCAGTCGGCAGACACTCAATAAGCCTTACCTCAGTGCCAAATGGAAAGGAACATTCACCGTTTTCACACTTCCAGACACGGGGTCCACAAGACAGATCTGATAAGTCTGTGGCTGCCAACTCTGACTGATAACATTATTCAAGCCCATTATTTTATAGCCAGGATACAGCAGCCTAAGGAAATCACATACCAACATGGCAACATATTAGAAAACAGAGAAATATCAAAAGGAGTCTTAGTTAGAGAACCTTACAGATTTACAAGTTTAGAGACATCTATAATACTGCCAGTTTAGGAGCACTGGGGCAAATACATGTTGATATGAAAATGTATGTGAAGCAGGAATCAAGACAGAGTCAGGCCTACATTCAACAGTAAACCAGTCAGCTCATATAACATCATCAGCAGGGGAATCTGAAGGAACTTCTCCTTCTCAGCCTGGACAACATAAGTGACCTAATTCAACAGGCAATGATGGCATTTTCAATGTCATTTCTTTATTATTAAGTACTTCATCCTTAATTATGTATGAGGCACTCACAGAAAAAGCCATAGTAAAGAACATTACAATTTCCAATAACTTGCAGCCTAATGAGTAGCTGTAACAAAAGCTTTATTTTAATAAAAGCATTCCTGTATTTCTTTTTGTAGCTAGAAAAACACCAGGGCCTGCAACTTACCTGCAGTGCTTTCCCACGTTGAAAGCTCCTACTCTAGGTCCCTGTTGTGTGCTCCACACCTCTAGAATGCCCCTTCTTGGGGCGTAAATCACAAGGAATTGGGCTACTCGACTTGGACCCTGAGTATTCCCGAAGGGAGAAAAGTCCACCTTCTCTGGCACTCTTTCGTGCAGGTCTTCTACAATTTGAATCCACCCAATCTGTGCATCACGGTAGCCTTGGGTAGAGAGAAGGGGGAGGTAATTAGCTAATTCGTCAAGGTTCAGCAGCAGTCTCCCCAAGCACTGGGGAATATATGAAGAGTGATGGGGCATTACCTTTGCCTATCAAATATCTTAGGCAGACAAGTTAACAATAAATACAGTAAATAATCAGTCACCAACCTTAATTTGCTTTAGATTATTTTCTTTAATAGACAAAATTGAAGCCTCTTGAGTATCGCTACCTACTCCTATCTCCATTTCTCCCTCTTACTAAAAGATTCCCTACTTCAAAAATATTTAGGGGAGATGACCAGGTTTGGATTTCAGTTAAAAGTCTACTTAAAATACACACACACCACCTTCCCCCATGCCCAAGTTGATTTCCTGCTATTCAAGCCCCTTGGTGGTTGACAGAGGGAAAACAAGTGCTGTAAAGTGAAGAAAGTTCCTGCACGAGCAAAGGAAAGCAGCAGTTAATGCTTTCTTCCAGTTTGAGGATGATCCCTCTCATGGACAACTGATGCAACCATCTCTAGCACACCTGGAAAAGAAAACTGACTGCATAAACTGCAGAGACAGGAGAAGGCCAGCACTAACATGGATCTGGGCAAATGGTACAGCTGTACCTTCTCAACCCTGATGTTGTCTAGGAGACAGGCACTGAGAAATGAGGATGGTCAGCAGTATTCTTTAAACAGCAGATGAAGACTATGTCTGCCTGTCCCTGTACAGCTTGTTTGGCAGGAAGGTGACAGGGGCCTCAACCTGGTTCAGAGTGACGTGATATCCTCAAACTTATTCTTTTTCATGTTGTAAAGATGGTACCTTCATTATGGTTTTCATAATTTTTGCTGACAAGTTATGTTCCAGATGACTTTAAAGAGTATATTCTCTCATTATCTTCTTTATTCAGGGACTTCTTTTTTTTTTTTAAACTCAGGTGGACAATGTACTCAGTCTCTCTTAACTAAGTCCTGGCTACTAAGTTGTACATAAAGATGACAAAGACTGTGGGTAGGTTCTGCCAAGTGCACTTGACTGACAGGTAGCTTCTCTTTCTTCTCTGAACCCAAGGGGACAGCTGGTCTGCCTTTGAGTGGGGTTCCTTAGCACACCATGGTAACTGATAATTACATCAAACCACTGATTTATTAGCAGCTAAACGAAACTCTGTGCCATTGTTATTGATAAGCTAAGTGGACTGATCCAAGTACACGGGTATGTAGATATAATCAGGGGTGACGGGTGTGCTACATTCTTCTATCTTGAATCTGATGGACGTAGCATTCTAGATTTGGGAACATTTAGATCAAGAGTGCCCTTATGAAGAAGAATGATTGTAGCTGAGGAAGCTGAATTAATAAACTGATGAGGACAGTTGACAATTTACAGAAAGTGCATAAGGCACAGGTTCTACAAGTGTCCGTGAGGTGATCAAACTTAAACGATCAATTAACACTGGGACCAAGTGTTACCAATCTGAGTTCATTTTGTTAGAAAAATCTGAAGGATTAATGAACATTATTCAGAAACTGAAGGATAATAACATCGCTCAACTCTTAATAAAACATGAATTAACTTCTTTCTGTAAAGAAATTTTTGTAAAGAAGTACCTTTCCACATGCGTATTGCAATGCCTCTAGCTACATCCAATAAAATGACTCTGCCAAAGTCATCAGTGACCGCTGCTAGTGTGTTACATGGAGACAGACATATGCTTTCACCATGGCGTCTAGAATCTGGAAGTCCAAATCTGATATTTAAAAGAAAACAAAAGGCTCAAATCATGTTCCAATCTGCAGACATGCACAACAATAAAATGCATAAATAAAATGTCACACCTATTTTTATCTAAAGAAATATGAACCTTGCTTAACAGTTAATCATACCTAATATCTGTAATCTAAAGCAACTAAAAGCAATAAAATAAAAATATAGTCATATGTTGGGTTTCTATACAGATTCCCCTTATATTTCTATGGACTATTTTTTTCTTAACAAACTTGTTATAAAAAAGAAGACCCTCACTATCAATTAAATTTCATAATATGTTGCTTCTACACAGATATCTTTTGTGTACTTCAAATTTTTGTTTCATGTCAGTTCTTTTCTATTTTAGGCATAAATTGCTGACACTGATATCATTTGCCAGAACTAAAACTTTTCTCTGCCTAAACAGTTATCTCAAGGGTGGGTATTTAGTCTACACTAGTGTAAATACTCATGCCCTGTATCTGAACACTTGGGTTTGAATTTCACTTTGGTTCCTGACTCCAGCTTCTTGCTGAAGGCAACCCTGGGAAGCAGTAATGATAGCCAGGAACTCTTCTCAGCACCCATGTGGATCAAGACCTGGGTTGAGTAGCTGGCTCCTGACTTTGGATTATTCCACCCTAGACAGTGAAGGCCTCTGTAAAGTGGACCAGTAGACAGGAATTCTCTCTCTGTTCTCTCACTACCTCCCATTAGGGATGAGAATTCTGTCTCAATCTTATTCTCCCTACCTCTCAGACATAAATAAAAATAGCTAAATCGTTATTTCTAAAGTATATGGTTTATCATCAACCTCATTAGAACAGTGAGCAAAAAAAGGAGGTAATTAAAATGGACCAGGAGCACTCACTCTGAGAGAAGGCCCTGAGACAAAATGCTCAAACTGTTGTAACTACAGGGCCTTGTGGCTAATTTCTTGATTCTTGGCTGAATATAGGATATGTGACGTGTTACAATATAATACATATATTTTAAAAAGATGAAAAAGGTCTTAGAAGATAAAATACATTTTAATAATAATTAGTTGAATCTACTTGGGCAAAGAATATCTACAAGGGAGGAGTTCCATTTTCTTTCATGGTGTTACTTTTATTAAGTGTATTATGAAATGATTAAAAACCAAATTAAAGGGTTGGTGTGTTGCATAGACGCAGCCAGGGTCTTATTTGGGATCTGGCTTGTGTCTCAGCAGTTCCACTTTCCACCCAGCTCCCTAATGACCTGGGTAAAAGCAGCAGAAGATGGCACAAGTGTTTTAGCTACTGCCACCCATGCCGGAAATCAAGAAGCCCCTTGCTTCAGCTCGGTCCACTATTGGTGACTGTGGTCATCTGGGAGTGAATCAGTGGATGGAAAACCTGTCTCTTCCTATCTCCTTGGAACTCTTTCAAAATAAATAGTTTTTTTTTAAATTCTTCATATTAATGACTATCAAAAGTTCTTACAGCTCATGAGATCAAGTCAACTAATAAGAACACTGAAAATCATGAATTAATTAATACTACAATTTAAGAAGTGCTCCAGACTTGCCTTACAGCTAATGGGGTAGCTGGTTCAACCTTTGGCTTTTGCTTCTGGACAGCTTCTTCTTCATGCTTGCTTTTCCAGCCAAGCCAACCACTGAGAAGAAAGAAAATTTACAATAAAAGTAGAGGGACTTCTAGAATTTAAAGTGTAAACTCTTAAATGTAAGTTAAAACTAAGCTAGATACAGATCACAGACTTGTAAATTTAATTGTTATATAATTACCTGGCAGCATTAAATAAAGCAGAAGTGAGTTTACTTGCAACTGCTAGTGCAACATGAGATAATAATGGTTGTGTGCTTCCCTGAAAAGCAGAATATTTGAAAGAGAAGACTTAATAGCTTACAAATAAACATTCAACAAGGTTTACATTAAAAAGTCCTGAAAGGTTGTAAAGCCTGGACTAGTAGTACTTCCAGTCTCTTTCAGAGGGCACACTAAAAACTTTATTTTAGGAGCAATAGAAAATGTTAACTATAGTTTTAAAATGAAATCATTACTACTCTATTTTACCTTATTTAAAATAAATCCTAAATGAGGGTAATAAGACACCATTGTTCTAGCTGGGCTAAGCATTAAGGATTTCTTATGTACTCACAAAAGAGCCTCCCTCCACCTCTATTTCTTGCCTTCGCTTTTCAAATAAAAATAGAAAAACAGTCTGGACAATTCTGAGGCGGCTTTTTTGTAAGTGAGAAATAAGAACTGCCAAATCTAACACTTAATCTTTCCCTATTTTAGGAAATAATTTTCACCTCGTACAAACTATAGTTGGCAGCTTCTTTGGCCTTTAAAATTTCTCATGCATTCATATCCCTGGAGGGCTGACAACATTAACAACACTGAGCTTCTGACTAGTACATCAACAGGTGAAGACAACTCGGCTGCCAGAGAACTCAAGGCTTCAGAAATAAGAGGTTTGCTTCGCAGTGACTTTAGAACGGTTTTAATTAACCTGAAGAATTAAGAAGACTAACTGATCATATCTAATTTATACATAAGCTGAAAAGTCAAGAGCGGTTTGTTATAATTATTGATGAAATTCATACCTCTAGAGCATAGAAGAAGCCAGTAAATGGATTGGCTCCTACAGTGATGTACTGAGACATGGCAGGTGGACTATTTTTAATTGCTGCATTAAATCCACCAATATTGGAGGCAGTCTTCATTTGATCAAAGGGGGACAGAGTCATAATTCCTAATAAATGAAAAGAAAAAAACCTCATCATTTGAATGCACTTAAACAATACTGTCATTACGGATCATTAACATTTTGTTTCACTTCAATTTTAGGATGGACCAAGATTAACAAGTTGTGACATATGAACATAAATAAAATTTAACAGCTTCTGTTAATACAGAAGAGAGTATAAGTCACTACAAAATATTCAGAGGACAATCTGGGTATAAACCGAACCAAATTTAAAACTGGTTTTAATTTATTTTAACAAAATGGCTGATGGGTGCTTTCAATCTTTAACTCCAACTATATATATGCCTTATCACCACACAAGCCACACATGTGAATGCCAGAGTGAGCTACTTCGGGGGCAGGCATTTGGTTAAGACACTGGTTAAAATGCTTATGTTCCACACAAGGCTTGATATCATTATGTGGGCCATTCTTTTCAGCCTCGTGCTAATGAGAACTCTGGAAAGTAGCCCAGGGTGACTCAAGCAACTGGGTTCTTGTCTCTCATGTAGGCGATCTGGGCTAAGTTCCTGGCTCCTAGGTTTGGCACTCCAGAAACTGCAGGCTTCTGGAAAGAGATCAACAGAAAGAGACGGTATCTGTATGTGCCCTGTCTTTCTACCTCTTGATTTAAAAAATCGATTAAAGAAAAGGTACACAATAAAACAGTAGTGACTAAAGTGTCAAAAGCCAAAAATGCTAACTAAAAACAAATCCTTCATTTCTAACTGCCTCAATTCTTAAACAGTTCCTTCAGTACAAAAGTATTCCGTCCACCTATCTCCAACTCCATTGCCTTTACCTTAGGTAAACCTAAACTTCTCTCTGGCTTGAATTATTATTTTAAAAAATCTGCTTAATTAATTTTCAAGGCAGAATTATATTAAGAGGGAGATGAAGAGAAGTCTTCCACCTGCTGCCTTACTGCCTAAATGGCCACAAAGGCCAGTACTGGGTCAGGACAAACCTAGGAGCCAGGAGCTTCTTCTGGGTGTCCCATGTCAGGGGTGCAGAGGCCCAAGCCCTTGGATCTTCCTCTACTGCTTTCCCAGGAGAGCTGGAACTTGAACCAGAACCCATATGAAATGCTGTCATTGCAGACAAAGGCTTTAGCTGCTATGCCACAATGCTGGCTCCTTGCCTGAAATATTACAACATACTCCTAAGTGGTCTCCCTTGATTCCCACTACAATCCATTTTCTAAATAGCAACTAAAAGAGATATCTTCAAAAGCAAACCTTTATTCAGAATCGATTAGCAACACTTAATGTGTTTAGAATATAATTCAATTTTTTTTAATCCATATGCAGCAGCACTACAACAAACATTTTCAATCCAACATTTTATCTCCTTTCATTCTTTAGAGTTGATTCACATGACCTCTTTGCTTCTGGAACACTAAAGTCTTCAAGGTCCCTCGCCTTGCTGCTTCCTCTGCCTCGGAGGCTCTTCCACAGGTCTTCCCAGGGCAGGGGACTCCCTTCCAGGTCACTCTTCCCACAGGTCTTCCCAGGACAGGGGGGTCACTTTCAGGTCACTGCCCTGAAGATGCTTTTCCTCCCTTTTCTGCCTACAGTTCCTCTGGTGATTTTCCTCATGACACTGACTAACATTCTGATATTATATATATTCACTTAGCCTTGTTATTTTTCTTCCTTTCACTAGTATCAAGGCTTCATCAGGGCAGGGGTCCTCTCTGACTTGTATTTCTAGCGCCTACGTTATCACACAGGACAACACAGGTAGTCATTCACTCACTGAATGAATTAATCAGGCTTTACATCAAGATGTACACACCTTAAGTTTACTGTACATTTTGTTTTCAATTAGAGGTTGGAAATATGTGAACAGAAGAATAATTTCTATCCAATCATTTTCCCCAGCCAGTTTTAATATTCCAATGTTTAATGATCAGATCGGGGAAGCTCACTGAACTGAACTCAACACTTTGGAATTTTGTGGCTTTTTTAAAATTAAATTTTATTTAGATTACAGGTCTAGAGAGAGAGGGAGAAAAATCTTCCTTTCACTGGCTAACTCCCCAAATGCCTGAAAAAGCTGGGGCTGAGTCGGGCTGAACTCAGGAGTCTTCAATGTCACTGGGGTCTCCTACATGGTGGCAGGGACCCAAGTACGAGGGCCATCTTTTGAAGCTTTCCCAGATGTGTTATCAGGGAGCTAAATCAGAATGCGGTAGGCAGTGTGATAACCAGCTGGCCTATCACTCTGGTATCATTTTATTGCATATTTATGTTATCGGAAAAAAAAAGACACACTGAAATATTGATAAAGAATTATAGAGTACTTCACCTAAGAATGATGCCGTGAAAAGCCCATGGCAGATACGTTCCCTTAACCCCTCTGGAGCATTCACATCCCTCCTCTTATTGGCTGCTCTCTCTCAGGGAGCAGGTGCACAGATGATGCTGGATTCCTATTTGGTTTACACAGCAGTAAGCCCCAGTAGGAGACCAAGGACGGAAAGAACAGTCAGGACTGTATTGCCCTTGCAGTCTCCCTAAAAGTTCACTACGGCCCTTGGTCAAAACCCATACTGCTCACAAGGCACTAATTCCATTAATTGTCATCAAGTTCTGGAATACTCCCTGCTCTCACCTTCTAAGGCCTAGGAATGCTTACAAGCTTGGCTGCTCAGAAAACTACAGGGGCCCGGTGCAGTAGCCTAGCAGCTAAAGTCCTTGCCTTGCACACACCAGAATCCCATATGAGGACCAGTTCTAATCTGAGCAGCCCTACTTCCCATCCGGGTCCCTCTTGTGGCCTGGGAAAGCAGTGGAGGACGGCCCAAAGCCTTGGGACCCTGCACCCATGTGGGAGACCTGGAAGAGGGTTCTGGCTCCTGGCTTCAGATCAGTGCAGCTATGGCGATTGTGGCCACTTGGGGAGTGAATAAGTGGATGGAAGATCTTGCTCACTGTCTCTCTTCCTGTCAATATATCTAACTTTCCAATAAAAATAAATCTTTAAATCTTAAAAAAAAAAAAGTGCCCGGCGCCGTCGCCTAGCAGCTAAAGTCCTCGCCTTGCAAGTACCAGGATCCCATATGAGCGCCGGTTCTCACCCTGGCAGCCCCACTTCCCATCCAGCTCCCTGCTTGTGGCCTGGGAAAGCAATCGAGGATGGCCCAAAGTCTTGGGACCCTGTACCTGTGTGGGAGACACAGAAGAGCTCCTGGCTCCTGGCTTCAGATTGGCTCAGCACCAGCCATTGCGTTCACCTGGGAAGTGAATCATCAGAGGGAAGATATTTCTCTGTCTCTCCTCCTCTCTCTATATATCTGACTTTGTAATAAAAATAAATCTTTGAAAAAAAAGCAAACTTCAGTGTACTATTCCTTGAGGTTTCCTCCTTTAACTAATCTTTATTTAAATAAATAGTTTCTCGTATATAAGTAAACCTCCCTTCAACTGCCACATTTCAAGTGTTCCACCTATCTTGGGTTTAAAACTCATAAAATGCACCTTTGGAAAAATTGAAAAGAGCTGGCTGTGACATTCTGATTGAGAAAAGGCTATTACATACTTGATAGTATAAAATTCTTTTCATGAAAACATTATCTCTCTATAAAAAAATACATATTATATACGAATTTACACACACTCATACACAACTCCAAATAGTCATTAAGGATATTTGCCAAGAGGCCAATATATCTCTGGATAGTATAAATTAGAAGACTTTTTTTTTTCTTTTTCCATGTACACATTTATGTAGTATTTGAATTTCTTGACAAGCATTTATTATATTGTTAAGCAAAAATGCATTTTTAAGTAACATTTTTTCCCTTTCTACTCACATTTTTACTATCTTAATTCAGAAACACATTACTTTTTAAAAAATCTGTAATAAACAAAGTGGCTTTATTCTATTATTAAATTTCCAGAAATATGATACAATATTAAATTACTTTAATAATGGAGCAAGATGGATAAGTCTTTAAAAAACTGTGTTGAGTTGAAAAAGACACAAAAGGCATTAATGTGTGGAGTTTCGGATGGTTCCACATGCACAAATCAATAAACCTGATATCAACCTATCAACCTATCAAATGAAGGATGAAAATCATGACATTGTTTCATGATAAAATTTATTTTAATGATACAGTTCCTTAGGCTCTAGAATTTCCCTGCCCCCTCCCCTAGTTGCCTCCCCCCACTGATTTCCTCTATGTTATTACAATCGTAGAGTCCTGCAGAAGCAGTCATAACTTCATCATTCTGCTATTTAACTGTATCCTGACATTGCGGGTATGGACAGCAGAGAGAAACTCTTCTTAAATGATTTATAGATTGTGTAAGAGCCCCAGGTTCTGCGCTCGGCTCCTGCATTCCAGTCTCTATATTGCCACCAAGGTCAATTTTTTAACAGGCAAATGTGAGAGGTTCTCTTGCTCCAAATTCCTCAATGGTTTTCTATATTGCTAGGAGAAAAATTCTAAATGAAAATACTTAGCCATTCCTCTAAATGCTATACTAAACCTTTCAGAATCTGACTGCTCTCTACATACTGGACTTCATTCTTGTCAGTTAGCCTTGCCACTCACTGTTTGTTCAGCACACTATGCACTTTTACCCTGACACTTCTGTACACGTTGGCTAGGTCTGCGTCAACCTCTACTCACTCCTTCAACTGTAGGCTGACATCAACCTCCTGTTCTCTTATCCCCTCAACGCTAGGGGCATGCTCCTCTGCTACCACTCTGTTGGCATACTTCTCTACTCTAGTAATTGTGAAATTAAAGCTCACATTTTCGGATAACAGGGATCATGTCTATCCATCTCTATATTCTTGATATCTAATACAATAAGCTCTCAAAAGGTAGCTGCAACAAGCAAAAAGCTTTTATTTATGTTCTCATTTAAAGGTTAAACTTTAAAAGACCTTACATGGTCACTATATGGACAAAATAAAAACCACAAAATCCTTCTGTTGTTGCTATTAAATTCTTTAGAAGAGTAGCTACAGCTTCTTAAAGACATAAGCCTAACTTTCAAATGTCCCTCTAAATGCAATGCATTTCTTCACGTAAGAGTAACTATTCATTTCTAATACACAGCATATGGTCATCAAAAGGTGTAAGAAGTAACTGCAAAAATTTGAACTGGTAAGGCTTACCAATGCTTGCATGATCAATAATAGTGTCAATATCTTGTAAACCCCACTTCTTATAAGCCAAGGGTGGTGGCTGTATGTGTTCATTGCCTGATGCTGTAGCTGTCAGGGAAAAAGTAGATAATCCAAACTAAATTATAACAGAAAAAACGAAGTGTTACAAAAATGATAATACAAAAATTCATTATTCCAAATTTCAATGTATGAGCCAAAATAATGAAAACAAGGAATAAAGTAAGATTTATGTTAAGACAATATACATAAGGATACACTTAAAACAGTGGGTTATCACAAGAGACTTTTAAACTGACAGGAGGATTTAAAAACGAAAACCCTGAAGTGGAGAAACTCTGGGTACAGCATCTGGTGCCTTTACTCACTGACAAACTAAAACCCTGACACCCATGGCAGAGCACACATACAGCCAGGTGTTAAAGCGAGGCAACTGGGGCCAGACACAAAAGGAACATGCTAACAGTAAAGTGACAGCACTGCCAAAATGTGTAAAGAAAGGCCAGTCTTTAACCTCAGTCCCTCCATCTCGTGAATAACAGAAGGAAAAGCAAAGCCATCACCTCTCACCACGGGTTCATGCACAAGCTCCACACTACATATTAGAATGATACTGAAATCTGTTTATTCTGGAAAACTTTAATAAGCGTATGACAAAAATAGAACTTTCTAAAACTACAGATTTAAAATTTAAGTCAAGAAAAGAAAACCTTCTTGCAAGCAGAAATAAATACCGCAACAATTTGTGGCTAAATAATCAGAACTCTTACAATCAGAAAGCACTAAAGGGACTACTAACTTCCTAGGAGATAAAATGACTTTATAATCTTACACAGGACAGACAGAAAATCAAAAATGGTGAAAAAGTGAATGACTGATAACACCAATTTATGCTACATAATTAGCTATATTTAGATTTTTCTTTTAACTAATAGAATTCTTATTACTAGTCTCTTTGGATTATTTTAAATGTTCTTAATGGAGCTTATGGCGGGTTAAATTTGAGTAATTAAATATTATGAAAACATTGAATATGGTGAAATGCAACATTCTTCTCCAAAGATAGCATCAGAATGTAAACTAAGAGTGATATCAGAACTCTTGACTGTGCAGTCTTCACGCCTAAGTCAACAACAATGGAGTTTCATACATACAGACCTCCTGCTTTCCTCTACTCAGAACAGTTCCAAATGAGCATAAAGGAGCTGATATGGACTTCCAGCTGGTACTGCTACTAAAAAAATTATCCCCTCCCCCCCACTTGCTTCTTTCTCCTTGTAAGCAGAGCAATGCAGAATTATCATAAAGTACTCTCATTTCTGCAGCAGTAGGGTATTTTTAGCACTGGTTTGGAAGACATACTTAGAAGACATATTTAACTCTACAAACAGGTCACATTAAATAAAACAAGCATCAGCAGTTAAACATTTCTTGCAAAAAAAATTTACCTTTTGCTACCTGATTTCTGCAAGCACGAAGTGATTGAAAAAGGCTAAATCCATCAATAGTCACAATGGCACCTGGATATAAGATACTTAACTCTTCATTCTATTTACAAAGTGGAAAACAACACATTTTCTTAAACAGACATGCCACATACGCATTTCTAATAACTCCTGAATGTCAAAATAAGGGAATATAAAATAAACCATCAACCATTCAATACACAAAGCAGAGGCAAGCAATCAAACAGTAAAATTAAATGGAATATCAATTTTAGAATGCTTTTTGGACAGACTTCAAAATTCTCAATGTGAGTTTTTATACATGGTGAATAATGCTTTTAGGAAAAATGGTTAATAGTACTATTAATAATAATGCCAGAATTTATTTCTTCTGCTATGGAAATTCTGACAACTTCAAATTAAAAATAATATACATGACACCATACCTTTGCCTGTATCACTAGTAAATTCTAAAAATAACAAACTTTTATTGACTTGTAACTAAAGTATTATACTGGGATGTAAATTCTGAAACTTCAACGTCAAGACGCTTGTGACCTACACTGATATGCTTGCATCCAGTATCTGTCTCTGGCACTTGACTTCAGCTTCCTGCCAATATCCACCCTAGTGTAGCAGCAAGAAGTAGCTCCAGTGGATGAGTCCTTGCCACCCACATGGGAGCTGTAGGCTGAGTTCCTAGATTCTGACTGTTGCCTGGTTATGTCTCAGCTGCAATGGGCATTTGAGAAGTAAATCAGCAGATGAGGATTCTGTCTCTTAAATTGTTTCTTTTCTTTTTAAGTGTCTTATTGTAGCAGGAAACATAATATTTCATAAATAAAAGCAAAAAATGATACTCTATTACAAACAGATTGTAGTTCTAGAATACAACAGTATGGATAACTGCTCCACAAATGATAATTTTAAGCTTCCAACCAATAAAGGGAAAAATGTTTCAGAGTAATGTCATTGCCACTTTGAACAAAGCTTTTTATAATACCTGTTCAGTCACGCCAGGATGCCGGGGGATTTCATAGGTCCTGCATTTAAGCTGAAGCACTGGGTCCTCGTTCAAAAGCTGTGCAAGCAAGAGCACACCGTTCTAGAAGGAAGCAGGGAAGGGCCTTGCTTATTTTCTCACCAACAACACAGCTCAACCAAAAGGTTGGGCCAGGCAGAGATTACAGTTTCCCCCCAAATTTTCCATGGATAAAGGTAATCTCTTTCTAGGAAAACAACAGGTACTCTTCTATTTATGTTCTACCAGAAAATTTCACCACCTGTTCCAGCCTCTACCCTAATAAGACATTAATATCTTTCCAACCAACAAGTATGAAGTCACCAACTAGTTTAATGGAGTTGCACAACTATTACAGACAATGAGAGTTCACTATCTGCTGAAAACTCAACTCACCTCGGTATAGAAACGTACGTAACCTGAAGTAAAACCCACCACTATGCAGGTCCAATCAGGACGTCCAGTGGAACTCCTGTTACAACAAAATTTATGATCTTAACAGCTCATAAATCAAAGGACAGAAAGCAGGTAATTTCTATTTTGGCTCCTTACCTCTTTTGGCTTGCTAGTGGGATACACAGAGCACTAGTTACACATTCCCTAAAAAGAAATATAAAAATCACATGCTTACCAACTGAATCAGTCAATGATGTGTATTGGTCTACAATCTGATATTAAAGGATAATCTATGGTGATGACCTCTGTGGATCAGTTATATTTAATGCATAACTAGATATACACTATTAGGGGCTATAAAACTCATTCAGATAAATATAATGCTACATTCATTAGTGATTAATAGAAGAGAATATCTTTCATTCTGTATTGTCATTAAAAGCAAGAAAGTAAAGAATATAAAAGTTTACTTTCACAATTGATTGTATGCAGAACTGAGAAAATGGCTGTCATTTTCTACCATCCCATTCTCATCTGAATTAGTTAATGACTTTGGTTTATCTACCTGATTAAGGGCAGGGGCTATGCAGTGGGGAGAGGAACTGCCAGTCATAGCACATGCAAATTGGACATCTTAAAGGTCCATGTTTTAGGGACTTACTGTATTTCAAATATCTGTCTTCTTATTTTATATTTTGCAGAAATTGTCCCCAGTAATCGACAAGTTACTTTTAATTAGGGGAAAACAGTGGGAAGGATGGGGGGATAGAGAGGGTGGAAGAGGACATCCTTGAGCCTAAGGAACTATATCATGAAAAATAAAAACATAAAACAACAATAACTAAAAAGTAAAAGCTCATGAAAAATGGAATTAAAATGTAAGTTTATTCTTGTGCAGAAAATTCTGAAATCCATGCACATGAGGGTGTCTTCAAATCACTGCTAGAAAGCCGGGGAATATAGAGGAGACACTGTGGAATATTTTAGTATAATAATAGGAAATAATACACTGAAGTAAGCATCAAGAAGAGTTCCCTTTTTTCCTTATAAAGATATATCTATTTTTATTGGAAAGGCCAATTTAGAGGAAAACAGATAAAGATCTTCTATCCACTGGTTCACTCCCCAAAAGGCCACAATGGCCAGAGCTGAGTCAATCCAAAGCCAGGAACCAGAAGCTCTTTCCAGATCTCCTACACAGGAGACAGGGTCCCAAGGCCTTGAGCTGTCCTCTGCTGCTTTCCCAGGCCACAAGCAGGGACCTGGATGGGAAGTGGAGAAGTCGAGTTATGAATCGGTGCCTGTATGGATCCTGGTGCATTCAAAGCAAGGATTTAGCCACTGAACCATCATGTCGGGTCAAGAAGAGCTCTCTTTTAACCCCTCTATCCAGCTCTAAGTAGCTGAAGATGGAAAAAGAGATCTTGGTTCCCATTTGGCAGAGGGAGAGTGAGTTAAGTTCAGATCTTAAGGCTTAAAATCCAGTACCAATTCTGATAAAAACAAGTATCTGGGGGCTGGCATCATGGTACAATGGGTTAAGCTTCTACCTGTGATACATAGTTCAAGTCCTATTTAGAATCCCAGCTGCTCCACTTCCAATCCAGCTCTCGGCTAATGCACCTGGGAAAGCAGAGAGAGATGGTCCAAGTGCTTGGGCTGCTGCCACCCATATGGGAAACTCAGATGAAGACTCTGGCTCCTGGCCTTGGCCTGGCTCAGCCTCAGCAATTGCGGCCATTTGGGGAGTGAACCTTTAGGTTAAAAACCTCTCTCCATTTCTCTTTCTCTGAGTATTTCAAATAAAGTATTCTCGAGGACAAAGCCAGAATAAAATAGTGGCTGACAAGATTCACTACTCTGTAGCCCCTCTCCCAAGGCTTGCATCTGACTGAATTTTTAAGAATGACTTCATCACTCATTCCCCAAATTTAATTCCCAGAAATTAAATGTCTTTAAAACGCTTAAACTAAATGACCTAAGGAGAGATATTATAATTTATTTTGAAAATAGCAGAAAGCACCTACAATGTTGCAGGTATGCAGTGAATGCTTCCACCTCATTGCTACTGATCTGAACTCAGTCTGGAGAAGCAGCAATGTGGCAAACTGAGCCAAGATCCTGCCCGTGACACCGGCATCTGATGTCAGAGCTCTGGCTCAAGTTCACACTGCTGTGTTTCTGATCCTGCTTCTTGTGAATGTGGTTGGAAAAGCAGTGGAGGATAGCCCAGATAATATGAGCTCCAGTATCTACACAAATGACCTGGCTGAAACTCTGGGCTCCTTACACTTTGCCTCTCTCTCTCTCTCTTTCTGTCACTCTCTCCTTGAAATAAATAAATAAATCTTAAAAACCTTAAAAACAAAAAGTATAGAGGACTACTCATTCTGATCAGTGTTTAGCCATAAAAATGTAACTGAAATAGATTTCAGCTCAAGGTTACCGCCTTGAGCTGTTCCGTGATGTAACTACAACAGACAGAGTTCATGGTTTTCAAAGTTTCATAGAACCAGTAGAAAACCTGAACATATCAACTTGCATTTCTGAAGCATTTATGGGATTTAAGAATTAATGTGCCACTGCCCCCTTTACGTGTAAGCCAAATACTCAACACAGAGAGGACAATTACTGCTAGTGACGTTTTTGGATAAAAAAAAAAATCAGTAATGGCAAGCAGAGGGAAAGATACATAAAAAAAGTATTTTATGAAATTATTTGTGAACTTTCCCTTAAAATTTTCTTCAAGCTTGATTTTTTTCAAAGATAACATGATAGACAATCTGCTACCTCAACCATTCTCTGCAATTTCTACCGATGGGATATATATTTATATTTACTAATTCCAAATAATGAAACTTCCTAGTAAGTTCACTTACAAGCCAATGTTAGACATATATTTAATACAGAGAGAAAAACAATTTAACTGGCACCTACCCTTCTTCAACATTTAAAGAACCACTCCAACCAACTGCAAACTGCATTTCTTCCTTTCCTTTATCACTGTACTTCCATTTTGCTGAAAAAAAAATTAAGACAACATATTAAATAATTTTAAATTAAGATATACTAAACAGTAATTTATAAAATTTATTGTTTGTCTTCAAAATGATAAATGTAAATTTTAATGGCTCTTCAATCCCAAAAAGGTCAGATATCATATGTTTGTTCTAATAATATAATGATATCAAATCTAGAGATATCATATGTGAATCTTACTCTATGTTAATCAATGTTACTTCATATTTGCTAATGTAACAAGAACTTGTGATGTAATTCATTAATTAACCATCCATAAAAGGTGGATTGTTTATCACCAGCTGAGATAGTCAGTATATAACTGTTATTGGTACGGCCCATAAACAACAAAGGTCCAGTCCTCACTGTACCTACATTAGGGCCCCAGGATACAGGAATTAACCCACAATGAAAAGTTATTCTCCTACATGGCTGGGAGACACTCCAGTGGAAGTGTGAAGCACTTGGGAAAACTCACGGTGGACACACATTATGAACCTAGAGAGGAGAACAGAGGAGAGGGGAGGGGAGGGAATATGGGGAGGGGTAGGGAAGAGCCCACCGCCAACTAAATTGTATCAAAAAAAAATAAAAAAAGTTGATGGCTCTGTATTAACTCTCTCAGGACTATCTATAGGTAAATACACAATAAAGTTCAAAATTGTATAAGATTAAAATAAAAAAAAAACCCTAGTCTCCTATGCCTAGACATCGCCCCAGTTAAGCCCATGTAATACAGTCACAGTTCTTATTTTATCTTATTTTTAACATTGTTCACATAGTTGAGTGGGATGTATGCCCATGTGGGTCTCTCAATCAGGTAGGGAGGATGGAGGAAGGTGCGTGGGACAAATGTCTCTGTTTTCTTCACAAGGGAGAAGGGAAGAGGGTCACTCCTTGCTGTCAAACTATAACAGCATTTAAGCGTGAGGGACAGTCATTTGATGCACCTTAGAGATCCCAATCTGCAAAAGAATATTCCAAGGGTGTTACTTAAATGGTCTTAATAGTTCTGAAAAGTCCTAAGCTTAGAAATAACATGCATCAGGGTTGAAAAAAATCTTTCCAAGGTCTACTGACTGACCAAGTCCACCTCACCGTATATTGATAGACTCAGGCATTTGTTGCAAAGCTTGGCCAGGAGGGACTCCCAATCTGTTCTGCTTTCCATCGTCTGACAAGGCACTAGACATCCTCTGCTGGCTTACATGAGGTAGCTGATGTGTCCCCCATGTATATCGGGGGATGCTGTGTACTGCACAGGTATCAGCAACTGAGGAGGCCCAGTCCCGATACAGGTACTCCAAGGTTGGACCACAAATCTTATAATATTCCTTGTGGCTGAGGATTGAATCCATTGTTCTAATTTGGGAGATCCCCAAGAAACCTCACCTGGGATGACCTAAAACTTGACTCTTGTATGTACCAGCTAATGCAAGGTCAGGTTTAGTCACCTGTACCATTCAATGCACATGCTGGTGGATGCAGCTGCCTGGTCAGTTCCACCCCTATCCTGATCTGTCTTGCAAACTGAGGGGTGCTATGGCCTAACCCAGCCCACCTACTACAGGCCTGGTCTTCATGCACTTCAATGGGTGCTACAGTCTCGTCAGGGCCACCTCCAATACCTACATGAGGCCCACTCGAAGGCACGATTTTTCAAGTGTCAGCATGTGCTGCAGCCTAGCCGTATCCATTCTGCATCTCATCTGGCTCTTGTGCACATCCATGGGAGTTCCAGCTTAGCTCAGCCTGAGCTGCTTTCAGATCTGGCCCACAGCTATGCTTACGGGTGCTGCCACCTTAACTAGCCTGGCCTGACCCCAACCGTCGGCTCTCATGCTCACTAGCGAGAGCTGCAGCCCAGCAGGGGAGTGCCCACAGTTCTGCTAGACACACTCCCAGCCCTGGATCTTGAGCCTGCCAGGTTCTTACAGAATAAAATTATTAATTCCTATGTACCACCTTATAAATTCTATTTGCCATACTACTTTTGTCTTCAGATGATGGAGAACATCTTTTCTATTAGATTCATGCTACTACTAGATGGTAAAATCTGTTTATAAGTTCATTCCATAGCTGTTTTATGTTACTTTGATCAGCTAAATTTTTCACATCTTATCTATCCCTTAAGTCTTCATTAAAAAAAAAAGATTAGTTCTGTTATTTGGAAGGTAGACTATATATAGAGAGAGACAAAGATTTGCTGGCTACAACACCAGGGGTTGGGCCTCTGAAGCAAGAAGCCAGGAGATCCTTCCTGGTCTCTTACGGGTGCAGTGACCTGAGAACTGGGCCATCTTCCACTGATTTTCCAGACACATTAGCAGGACATTGTATTGAAAGTGGAGTAGCTAGCATTTGAATCAGTACCCATGTGGGATACTGGTGCTACAGACGGCAACTTCATCCTCTACGCTACCGAACTGATGCCCCCAAATGTTTATTCTAATCTTCAACAAAAATTATGAGTTTAAAACTATCTTCAAAATAGAAAACTGCTAATCTATATTATAAGTGCAAAAATTATAGTTGAAAATCATATCACTCGTATTAATACTGTTAAGGGCTTGGTGACTGCCCTTTGAAAAGAACTGGGCAATACCCAGCACTGCCTTTGAAATGGCACAAAGAGAAAGCTAAAATAAGAAAATGAAAAAAAGCAAAGGAAGAAAGGAAACTATAAAGGAAATAAGTAAGAGGAAAGAAGGAAGGAGGGTAAGGATTTAGGAAATTTTATATGTAATACCAAAATTACAGATGCTACTGCATAAATGCATGCAATAGGAATGACATTTTTTCTACCTAATTTTCTATTTTATTCAATACATTAAAGACGAGTTAAAAGAATATAGTACTTACACACTAGAAACACAGCCTTCTGCTCCCGAGCTATAACCATAAGATCACTGGTTGGAGATAAGGATAACACACAGTCCTGAAGCCAGAAAGTTTTCTGTGCTTTGCAAGCATTCCCTTCTTCCTACGGATAAAACAACAATTATTGTATACATAAAAACAAAGTTCTCCACTCTACTTGTTCAGACTGAAGAAGAGGGAAGAAAAAAAAGAAAAAGAAAATTTTCCCAGTTCTTTAATATAGTTTACAATAACGTTTATCAAAACATGTCAAAGATGATCAACAAACAATATCTATCACAAATCTTATTTGAATATCAATACATGTTTTAAAATATAAACTAACTTAAAATAGCAAGGTACTAAAAGAATGCTATGTAGGGAATCACTTAAGAATGATTTAGTATTGAACAATTTAGTATTGAACAAGTTAGCAAATAATCCTATTGAGAGAGATGAATCTGTTAACTACAGTTAGACAGCAAACAAAAAATCATTTTTATTATGATTATAGGACTGATAAAAGTGTTTAATAAAATGTGATGCCTCTTTCTTTTTATTTGAGTTGCAAAGTGTTTTTTTTAATTTAGTGTATAGGTAAATTTCCATTATTAAAAAAATTTCAGGCCTGGCGTAGTAGCCTAGTGGCTAAAGTCCTTGCCTTGCACGTGCTGGGATCCCATATGGCCACTGGTTCTAATCCCACCAGCTTTGCTTGCCATCCAGCTCCCTGCTTGTGGCTTTGGAAAGCAGTTGGGGACGGCCCAAAGTCTTGGGACCCTATACCCATGTGGGAGACCCGGAAGAAGTTCCTGGATCCTGGCTTCGGATCGGTATAGCATCGGCCGTTGTGCTCACTTGGGGAGTGAATCATCGGATCGGACTGAAGATCTTCCTCTCTGTCTCTCTTCCTCTCTGTATATCTGACTTTCCAATAAATAAATAAATCTTAAAAAAAAAAAAAAGAGTATGATCTGCAATCACAGATTCACAATAGTTAAGACATGGAATCAACCCAGATGCCAATCAACTAAGGAATGGATAAGAAATTGTGGTAAATCTACTTGATGGAATACTACTTTGCCAGAGGAATAAAATTTTATCATTTGCAACAAATGGTCCCAGCTGGAAACCATTATGCCTAGTAAAATAAGCCAGTTCTAAAAGCACAAATATCTTACGTTTTCTTTAAGACAACCAATAAGTACTACAACATACACATATATACAAAAATCAAAAATATATAACACATATATAAATATATATGAACTATACAAAGTAGACTAGGCTGAAATGTTTTCTTGTTCTTAATCTCACCATAGGAGTTTACATAAATCTTTACTCCATGAACATGTCTTGGTTTCTTAGCATACAGTGTTCCGATTTTTTTCTTCCAACCTATTTTCAATTTTCCCCAATTTAATATTGACATAAGGTAAATACTTTGGAGAGGGTTTTAGAAACTGATTATTCTGGAGGCCAGTGCTGTGGCAGAGCATGCTATTCCTCCATCTGTGGTGTTTGCACCCCATATGGGTGTCATTTCAGTGGTGCTACTTTGGATCCAGCTCCCATATGTTAATATGGGAAACAGGCAGAGGACGGCCCAAGTGCTTGGGCCCTATATCAATAAGGGAGACCTAGAAGAAGCTCCTGGCTCCCAGCTTTGCACCAGCCCAATTCTGGCTGGTGCAGCCATTTTGAGAGTGAATCAGCAGATTTCTGTGTGTCTCTTCCTTCTCTCTGTAACTCTGTCTTTCAACGAAAACATATAGATAAATAAATATTTAGGAGAAAAAAAGAAAACAAAACTGTTTATTCTTGTACTAGTTTGTGCTTCTCCACTATTCATATCACATTTGCTTGTAATTTGAAATAATTTATTTGGGGAAAGAACAGGAGTCCCACAGTGACTTCTGGACACTCACACCTTTATTTGGTAGGGACAGGTGGTAGAAGATTTTAAAAAAAGAAACACTTTTTGGAACAACGCAAGCTTGAAAAAATTTTAGTATGGTTTTTAGAAATTTTGAGAATACATCTGACTCCTTAAAAATTGCCCTTAAGAATTAGTGAATACTTACTTGGCTAGCTGCTTACTAAAATTTACAGGTGATTCAAGAAGGCACGGATGATTGCTTCTTGGCCTTTTGGCAAAGATCAGGTAAACAAGACACTGATAATGTCAGAATCTGATATAATGACACTAAAATATTTCTCTGCTTTTTCACAATGCTCACAGAGAGGTGACTGGTACAAATGTGAAGCATGAGAAGCTAGATTCTCTAAAAAATATTAAAGTATTTTATTTTTGACATAAATGTTTGCAGTTCATCTATAAAGAGTAAGCTTGAATGTGCTGTGAGTTGGGATCAAGGTAACTGTTCAAACCAACCTGGTTATAATGGTAGTTTCAAACAGTACCAAAATAAAGAGAACGATGCCTATTGCCACTTGGAAATACAAGCATTTTCTAATCATGTTTTTTTTTAAAGATTTATTTTTATTATTATTTTATTGGAAAGGCAGATATACAGAGAGGAGAGACAGAGAGGAAGATCTTCCATCCGATGATTCACTCCCCAAGTGAGCACAACAGGCCGATACTATGCCGGTCCAAAGCCAGGAGCCTCTTCCGGGTCTCCCACGTGGGTGCAGGGTCCCAAAGCTTTGGGCTGTCCTCGACTGCTTTCCCAGGCACAGGCAGGGAGCTGGAAGGGAAGCGGAGCTGCTGGGATAGAACCAGCGCCCATATGGGATCCCGGGCATGCAAGGCGAAGACCTTAACCACTTGCGCCACTGCGCCGGGCCCTCTAATCATGTTTTATGTATTGAATGCTACCCTATAGATCAAAGAAGTTATTCCTGAATTTTTTGATTTTTCATAAACAACTCACGGGACAACCTTGTTACATTCTAAACTTACCCTAAATTGGTTTCTTATTTTTAACCAATATCATCTTAAACAAAGCAACTCTCATTTTAAAACAGCCTGCTAATTGGTCTCCCTGCTTCCACTCTTGTTCTCTACTTCAGACTAGTCCAAAACAAACAAACAAAGAAACAACATCCTCCATCCAATCAGCTTCCTGCTCTGACCCCACCATGAGGCTGCCTGCTCGGCTACACGCCACATTGGTCTTCTCTGCATTTCTTAAAACTCTAAGTTCATTCTTGCTTTAGTCTTTGTATGAAATGCTTCCCTGCCTTAAAATGCTCTTTGCCACATCTTCATTTTGCTGATTTTATGTGGTTTTGTAGATCTCAGTTTAAATGACACACTCTGTAAAAATGCCTTCTTTAAACAGTCTGTAGGAGTCACCTTGGTCACTTGCTATCACATCGCCATTTGTATTCCTGCATAGCTGTCATCATCATTTGATACTTTGCATGTTATTTCTCTCTCCTCACTAGAATATAAACCCGTAGGAACAGGGAATACAAGAAAATCTAACCAGTATACATGAGGTTGCAAAAAATTAAAATTCAAGCATTTAGTTCTTTCCTCATATACATTTTCATGAGCTCTTTTGAAGACAGTTTATATGAATTTCAAAAAATTTTGACACCAAGATAAACTTGCCTTTCAATTTCATTTTCCATGTTTGAAGTAGCCACAGTTCATTCTTTTTTGAGAAAAGATAGTGATTTTGTTCAATTCCTCCCCTTTGTAGTCATGAGCCTCAAGAGAAGCAGACCCTGACTGAGTGAAAAAAAATCTCAAATCCCTTGTGAGTAATTATTTCATAAATGAGCACGTGTTCCAAGAAAATACAAGGTAAGATTTAGTACAGGTTTTTAGGAAAGTTTCTTCTTGCTTGAAGAGTGGCACAACGTGCAAGCCTTCTTCCCCCTTTGGTCATGAATGAACATAATCACCACATGTGCTCCATCAGTTACACAAACAAGCCTTAGGACGAAGTCAACACAGTATATATACAGCAGATAAGAAGTGCTTGATGACATGCTTGATTATTCTCACCAGACAACCCCAGAGCTCACTCTGTTTACATTCTTCCTTTTATGTGGACTACTAAATTTCCTTGCTACTTAAGTTCTAGTTTTCTATTACTCAGTGCTATACTAACATATACAAGGACTTTGTCTAGCTCATCTATGGCTAAATTCTAGTAGCTACAAAAGTTTTAAAAATTTCAGTTTTATTGGAAAGTCAGATGTACAGAGAGGAAGATCCTCTCTGATTCACTCCCTAATTAGCTGCAACCGCTGGAGCTGAGCCAATCTGAAGCCAGGAGCCTAGAGACCCCTCGTAAATCAACAAACTGGGAAGATGATGGCTGACAGACACGCACATGGTGCTTGGGAAGGCAGTAGAGGATAGCTCAAATACTTGGCTCCCTGCTATCCACATGGGGTAGTCTGATGGAGTTCCTATCTCTGGGCTTTGACTGGCCTTGTTCCAGCAGCTGGAAGCATCTGGGGGAATAAACAAGAATATAGACAAACTGATGGGCAGATACATAGATATCTTTTTCTTGCTCTGCCTTTCAAATAAATAAGTAAATGTATTTACAAACAGAACAGTTATCTAACAGTTAAGGACTATTAATCACAAACTGTCCTTGACATAGATTTTAAAGTGTCAATGTAACATTGAAATGTCACCATCCTTACAAAAGGAAGATGTAACTTTCAAGTGGCATGTGTGCAGTTGTCAAACTTACAGGTTCTTGAGCTTCTGTTTCTTCCCAGGCTCCCCAGCCATCATCTTCCCAGTTTGTTGATTTACCTATTTTAAAAAAGATGAAAAGTGTTTAGGTACAATATAAGGCTTATACAAAATTTAAAATATTTTCTTTAGAGATAATAGAACTAACCCCTGCACAATACTGAGGATGAAGGAAGAAAACAATGGTAAACTATGTTATACCCATTTTGTTACTTGTAATAACAGTCAGCAAATATCTAACCTGATGAATTTCCAAATCTATTAATAAATCTGTTTGCAAGTTATTTATTTTAACAAACTATCAAGTTTTATACACATTTAAATAAAACTGCAAGGGTAACTTACCAAATCTAAAACATGATAAATGTTAGCTACTTAAACATTAGACAAATACAGAACAAAAAACACACCTAAAATTTCACATAGTCCTTAAAAAGTGACTTGTTTTTTCAAAGGCAAATTATTAATAAAAAAATCCTAATTTTTCAAACAGAATCGCCTTTTTAAAGATTCATTTTATTTTTATTGAAAAGGCGGATATACAGAGAGGAGAGACAGACAGGAAGATCTTCCGTCCGATGATTTGCTCCCCAAATGAGCACAACGGCCGATGCTATGCCAATCCAAAGCCAGGAGCCTCTTCTGGGCCTCCCACACGGGTGCAGGTTCCCAAAGCTTTGGGCCATCCTCTACTGCTTTTCCCAGGCCATAGGCAGGGAGCTGGATGGGAAGCTGGGCTTCTGGGATTAGAACTGGTGGCCATATGGGATCCTGGGCGTGCAAGGTGAGGACCTTAACCACTGTGCCACCACGCCGGGCCCCGCCTTACTTTTTTTTAAAGATTTATCTATTTTTACTGGAAAGTCAGATTTACAGAGAGAAGGAGAGACAGAGAGGAAGATCTACTGGTTTACTCCCCAAGTGGCTGTAAGAGCTGGAGCTGAGCCTATCTGAAGCCAGAAGCCAAGAGCTTCCTCCTGGTCTCCCATGCAGTTGCAGGGTCCCAAGATCTGGGCCATTCCCTGTTTCCCAGGCCACAAGAAGGGAGGAGCTGGAAGGCAAGTGGAGCAGCCAGTGCCCATACTGGATCCTGAAGCATGCAAGGTGATGACTTAAGCCACTTGGCTACCATGCTGGGCCCAGAATCACCTTACTTTTATACAACATCTCTTATACTCTGATTTTATTTTAAATTTTTATTTATTTACGAGGCAGAGACACATGCTATACACAGAGAGCTCCCATTCACTGGTGACCTCCTCAAATACCTCCAACAGCCAGGGCTGTGCTAAGGTCAAAGTCAGGAGCAGGGATTTCAACCCAGGTCATCATGTGGGTGGTGGAAGCCTAAGGATGTGAGTCAACATTGCTGCCTCCTGGGGTTTTGCAGAGAAACGGAAACAGAAGCCTAAGCCAAGAACTGAACTCAGGTATTTCAATGTGGGGCTGCCAGTATCTTACCACTTGGCTTTGCCCTTGAAATTGATTTTTTTTCTTTCTTTTTTTTTTAATATGGGAACATTCTCTCAGATGAAAAGAGAGTTGACAATGTAATAAGAATTAAAATCCCAGATATGTTTAGATAATGACTCCTTCTATTTATGCTACCTTTTGTACAGTTCTCTTTGAATTTACCCTAAAATATAAAACTATCATTTTCTGAGCAACTATTTTGAGACAAGCTTTAGATATTTCATATGAATTATCTTAAATTTTAAAAGCTGATAAACTTCAGATAAAACATCAAGCCCAAGAATCAGACTTACTAATTTTTAAAATGTAAACTGATGTAATGCAGTTTAAGTATCTAATGTTTGCTCAAATTCTATATCCAGTACTTCTGGGCTTTTGTCCTAGGGCAAGTTATCATATGGCCATCTGTAACTTTAATTAGCTCACCATATGACCACAGAAAATTACAGTAGAAATATCACAGTGGTTGTGAGAATTTGAGTCAAACAGCATAATAAAATCCTCGGAGGATTGTGTTACCAATGCTGACCATCAAGATTTACATAAATGTATAACAGCTATAGAATAGAAAAACAAAAAAAATCATCTATGCAGATTTAAAATTTTTTGAAAAATTAATGTAATACATGAACTGAGCCTGATGGCTTATGGCAGAAAGAAATCAATTAGGACTTTGACTTACATAAAAAGTTTTAGCAGTTGGCTAAAAAAAATAAATGTGATTAAAAAAAAGAAACCCATAACCTGGAATCATTGCTCGATTAGCTTTGTGTAACATTATAATTCTTTCCAGTTAAATTCAAGTAATTACCTCTGAATACATCAAGCACATTGCTAGGCATATATTAAGTCCTAAAATAGCATTATCATTTGTTTAACACTACACAATTTTTGAAGATCTCTATATACAAGTCAATCAACAATTTAGCCAACACTCTGCTAAACACCATGTACTAAACTCTGTAGTAGCAACCAAGAAAAATATTATATCCCTTACTCTTAAAGAATTCCTGCTGTGGTGTAGGATTTCAGCGAACATCTAATCATAATAATGTGATAAATACTGTAACTAAATACAGTGGGAACTCTGAGAGGGAGTAAAAGAAAGTAAAACACCAAAAATACATGGAGGAATCATCCAAGTTTTTAAAAACAGCTCTGAACCTTTAAAATACGGTTAGAAAAAAGTCAGTATGAGTAAGAAAAAATGCAGAGGCAGAAAGATGCAACACATGTGACAACAACTGAACACCTCTTTATATCTAAGCGATTTACAAATACAAAATCACTTCACATTCCAGGAGCAAAATACACAGTGCAACTTCCATTCAAGTCTGCCTAAGCTCCAAAACCAATGTACCTAAGTATTATTAACTTGATTCTGCTATGTCTAAAGAAGGGTAAGATTAGGGAAGAGAAAGGTTTATGTTTAAGGCCAGAACTGAGATGGCTCTTTTTTTATTATTAAAAAATATAAATATTCCTTAGATACTGAGATTTAGAGATTTTTTCCAACTGAAAAATCAGTTTGTCCATTGGCACTTTATTAGGTAATCTATTTGGTTCATGTTTCCACTGCAAACAACTTCTTAATTGTGACTGATGGCAGGCAACCAGGCCAGTCCATTCTGATTTAGAATGCCCACTCTCTTGAAAGATAAACCAAAGTACTGAAAAAAATAATTCTGAAGCCCATAATTCAATTTTAAAATTGTCATAAAAATAACATGTTAAACTACCACATCCCAAAAAGACCATGCAGAATACAATTTAAAACCCTTCAGGATAGTCAGATAATCATTCATTCAACAAACTCCATCTTTTATGTGACGGGCATTGGGCTAAGTGGTACTGCATACAAAAGCAAATAATTAAAAAAAAAAACCTTACTTTACTCCATCACCTTTGTTGAAAGCCATACAGAATAAAACTATAAAATCTGGTTATTTCCCTCCATGGTGACTAAAAAGTCCCTGACTCAAACCACAAATGACTCACACAACTGATGCCGGCAGGTTTCGCAGCTCCTGCGCCTGCAGATGCAGTATCCATTCCACAACTCAAATCATTCAAGAAGAAAAATACCTACACTTTTTGAGAGATACCTGTGCTCAACAGGGTTTACAGTTTTCATTACTCTTGGCTAGAGACCTCTCAACAAGGGAGGGAGAATGAAAAGGGGGATCTTCCACCACCACAAGAATGCATTTTCCCAAAACAAGGATAGGGAGGTGGCATTGTGGCATTAACAGGCTAGCTGCTGTTTCCCAGCGCTATAGCATTCTCCAACAGGTGGAAGATGCACTTCTTACTCTGTCTCTTCCTCTGTCTCCCTGACTTTCAAATAAGTAAATCTAACAAGATGTAAGGCTATAAACTGATGTTTTAGGAAAATGAAATAGCACTATTATTCAAATAGGTTAAAGCTGTTAGTGCAAATTGCTCTAAAATTTATAGCAATATTTTAAAGCTGAAATATGGGCCTTTCATCTTTCAGTAATTCACCAAAATGACAGACACAAAAGGTAAAGTGGAGAGGCACCTGTTACATTGTCTCCAGGCCTTCTAGGAAACTTGTTCTGCCCTCCTTCCTCAGCTATGGTACCAGATGTCCTCCCCAGACTCCAATGGCCTGCCATATCCTCCATGTGCATCTGGGCATACCGTCCACTGCTCCCTCTAAGACACTGAGGAGGCCCAGCTCTGACACATGCACTCTACGGTGGACACCACAGCTCCTGCGGTTCTACCCATGGTAGGAGTTCTGAGTTCAGTGGTTCAATTGGAGGGATCCCCAAAGAAACCTCATCTGAAGTGATCCCAGACCTGACTCATATGTGTGCTTGCCAGTATGCGTTCCAGCTCTGTCACCCACATCAGCCTATGCACACAATGGTAGTTGTAATTGCTGGGTCAGCTCAGTTTCCAGCCCGAATGCAAACCAATGGATGCTGCAGCCCAGCCCAGCCTTGTCCACCATGCACTCGGCTCTCATGTACACCAGCAGGAGCTGCAGACTAGTTGGAGCAACCTCCAGTGACCCCCACTAGGCCCACCCTCAGCCCTGGTTCCTGTGATTGCCAGTATGTGAAGCACATTTGGTCTAGTCTGTCTACACCCCATTCAGCTCTTATACATGTCAGTGAGTGTTGAGCCCAGCTCAACCTAACAGACCTCACTATCCAGCTCACACTCATGCTCATGGGTGCCACCATCTGACTAGCCAGACCTGTACCCAGCCCCAGTTCCCATGCTCACCAGTGGGAGCTGCAACCCATCAGAGAGGTACCCACAGTTTTCCTACTTTCCCCACTCACAGTCCCAGATCTTGTACTTTCTAGGTGGTTCCAGAGTCTACCCTGACAGGATTTGCCCCCAGTCCCAGCATTTGGCAGCTGACACTGTGGCAAACCTCAACCAGCGGAAGAATCCCTCCCAACCCCCTTACTCCTGGATCTCACATGTGCTGGTGGGTATTGCAGCCCAATCTGGCATGGCCCACCTCACCTTGGCATTTGCCGGTGGGTGCTGCAGCCTGGCCAAGCCCAGTCTGCTCCCTGTTTCAGTTCAGGCTGATGGCTTCTTGA